TCCAGCTGGAAGCATTTTTTTTCTATTATGGCAATGTCTCTATATGCACACTGAATATATGGAAATGCTGTTAATCACAAAATCCTCACAAAAGGGGGGAAAAAATCAACATTCACCACCTCAATTTAAATAAGCCTCCAATCCCATTTCCACTGGATTGGAGGTCTGGCTTCAGCGATGCTACTAAATGACCAGGTTTTTGCTTCAGTGGATTTTCTTCCTTCCCTGAGTGGTTCAAGGAGGATGATACATTATTTTCATGCACAGATTGGCCGCCACAGAGTCCAGAATTTAACTCCAGTGAGGAGCTTTGCGATGTGCTGGGGAAGGCTTTGGACAGCGGTCTGACTCATCCACCATCAATAGAAGACCTTGGTGAAAAATTAATCCAACTCTGGCCAGAAATAAAACTTGTGATATTGCATAAAGTTGTCGCAACGATACCATGGCGAATCCTCAAGGCTAAAGGCTGACCGGTGAAATATTTTTTGGAGAGTTGGTGTGGGTCATGGCCATTGTAGAATCAATGTGTTACACCTTGGGTGTCAAACATAAGGCCCTGAGGCCAGAATCAGCCAGGCAAAGACTCTGAACTGGCCAACTGAAAATTTTTGGAAAATGTGAAAGAGGACGTAGATTTTGAAGGTTTTTAATTTCAAATAAATTAAGTAAATTAACCAGAACAGAAAAGCCCGGGCAATGAGCTATCAGGACTTTTTCTGTAATTTTACACATTTATCATGTAGAAAATCTGAGACATTGTGTTAAAATTGCACTTTTTTTTTTTATATATTCAGAAAATTGGGAGTTAAATGTTTACTTAAAGGCATTTACACAGACAGAGAGGGGAGTGTTGTCTGCACGTGGCCTGCGAGGTAAAATGAGTTTGGCATTCCACCACCATCAAGTGTGAGGGAATATTCTTTGGGGAAAAAGGTTCACGACCCATCCAGTGGACAATCACCGATACAGAGCACTGATAATACATGTTGACCCAACACTTCACACTGGTCTGTCCTTTAGCTCATCCTTGGTCTTTAGGAGTAAATGGATCCCCAGCCTCCCCAGATTCACCAATAACCTTACAGCGGGAGGAAGCCTGAGGACCTGGAGGCTGAAATCCAGAGCCAACTTCCTGTGATGGTGCCAAACACTCTGGATCCTTGTGCTGTACATCACAAATATTTAAATACCCGTGTGTATGTTTGCCCACGTTTCACGTTCATCTCATCTGAGCCACCAAACCGGCGTCACTGTAAGCAGTAATTCTGCGAATAAATGTAACTTCATGCATGGGTAGCTCAGATAAGACCCCCTCCATTATGAAGCAAAGCAACAAAAAAAATTAAAATATGTGAGATAATGGGCTTCAATTATGAGGATGTTTCCTTTGTGTGTTGAATCGCACTCTTATTGTTTCAGAGGAAACAACAACAATGAAAATAATAACCACATATTTCACATCTCTGCTTGAGATCAGAAGTTTTTCCTTTTTCCTTCTAACAACACAAAAGACCGGAGGAAAACAAAATGTAAATTCCTAATATCAATGTTTCATCAGTCACGACTTGAGCCGGATGCATAAGAATTTATAATAAACCAAATGTGTTTCAGATCACAGCCTCTTTCTTCCCAAAAGAAAGGGGAACGATTTCTGTGGGAACATGAAAAAAGTCGAGCCTGTTAGGATAAAACAGACAATGCAAACAGGATTTTGTGAATTTTCTTTATTTCTTTCCAGCTAACTTTGATGTCAACGGCATCTCAGAGAATTTAACTCTGTAGACCGACAGAAAACAAATAAAGTCAAACCGTTTCCGTATTTTAATGTGATCATTAAAGTGAAGGCAGGGTAAAAGCGTAAAACAGGGCTATGAAGCTCTCATACGAACCAGTTTGTGTAATGCAAAACAATGCTTTTGATTGAGTACATCTGCACTCGCTGCTAATGGAGCTTCACCTCAAGAGTCCCGTCCAGAATTAACTCAATTTAAAGAAAAGGGGGGAAAAGCCAGCGCCTGATTGTGCTGCAGTTTTAGCAGATGGCACGAAGGAAACACTGAGCACAATGAGGCGACCACAGCGGCGTAATGATCAGAAAGTCTGCCTGCTACAAACTTCATTTAATCTGCGAAAGGCGATACGAGCGACGTGTTTATCTGCGAAGCACCACAAATGGAAAAAATAAAGGACTGATTCTGATGTGTTTAGCATACGCGAGGCTAATTTATTAAACAGCCACTTATGCGGCTCCCTCGTGGCTTCGATGATGTTTGCTTCCTGACCACAGAGAAGAAACCGAGGAAGTTTTATTTTCACATTAAACATGTATGAAGGCGATTGTTGTTGTTGAAGAGACGCTAACAGAAAAAGAATAATGTTGGAAGTAAACACTGAATATTTAAAGAACTCATATTTTGATTGTGCTAAAATATCCTCGGTGGCAAAGAGCTGAGCTCCTAATTGTACTTGATGTTATCTCCTATTCCCTTTTTATTCTGCTTGTCTAAAAAGGATTCCCAAATCAGTCAAATCAAGAATTCATCTTTCATCCTTTAGTTTTTTCTTATAAACGTCACTCAGAAACTGAATCAGAGCATTTTGCTGCGGATCTGAAAGATGCGATGAATCCGAGCAGGTTTAAGCAGCGTCAGTTATTGATGGCTCACAGCACCAAAATACGCCAACGTCCCTTTACAGCTCCTTCAAACAAATCCACACTCTGTGCTGTGAGCAGCTTGATACGGGAACTATTTTCTTTCTATAGAAATACATCCGCTGACCATGACTGTACAAAAAATATGCACAACAAAAGGCTCGTCCTTGAGATGGCTCAACGGGATGTAAATATTAGAGGTATCCCCGTGTTGTGGGCCGTAATGACAGTCAGCCACATGCTTGGATGCAGTTCAGCAGGAGAAAAGATGTTCTACATGAAACGGCTCGTGACAACGTCTGTGGATTTTTCCCAGAGTAACTGGTTTATGATTTCACGCGGAGTTTTTCGGATTGAATTTTCGCTGCAGTGAGAACTGCGAGGCAAAGGCCATCTAGGCCCATTATATTAAAGAGAAGGCACTCGTCTCTAAAGCTGCTTCACCGTGAAAACATGCGCAGTAACAGCCGTAAAAAGCACTGCAAGTCAAAGGAAACAGATTTTCCTAAAAATAAACCTAAAAGTGCAATTTTTGCACAAAATTTGCAACAAACTTACATCAGGAAGGTTTCGCTGTAAAGGCAGCAATTAGTTACATTAGTTACAGTACAACAGCACATCCGTCATACATTAGAGTAAATTTTAACATCTATGAGGGGAATTGTGTCTGCTTCATTTTCACCTTTTCCATGAGCTGCTTTCAAAGAAGAAGAGAAAGATTAAAAGTGTCTTCAGTCGACACTTTCATCGTTGCCACATTTTGAGTCTCTATTTATGTAATTTAAAACTTACAGTCTGTGTCACGTTTTAACTTCTCAGCAATTAAAACATTTCACGCCCTCACTGACGGCTCATTTTAAAACAGTTGTAACTGCGAGGGTCACACAAGCATCCTTTTAAAGACACCTCTAACTGTCTGGTGAGCCACATGAAAGCGGAAAAACAGGTGCAAGCCAAGGTGCCGTTATCAGAGCAGCACGACGCCGAACAGCAGCGAGGTGGAGACGACACACGTGTAAGAGAAGCCATGAAGGCGTAAACAGACGTTTAAATATCGAGAGAGAGAGAGAAAACTGCAAACAAACTCAATTTAAGACCCCAGAAAGCAAAACTGCCTGAAGATCTGCAGAGAAAGAACAAACCTTTTATTTTTAAGACTGTTAAACAAAAACCTTGCATTTCACACGAGGTCATATTGTTAATCTGTGTATAACTAATATTGTATTATTGCAGCAGCGTGAAAAAACCTCAGGTCTTTCAGAAACTCATTTTATTGTGATATGTTGTTGAACATTAAAACGGACAAAAATACTCAAACTACTAAAAACAGTTTGCGCACATTAAGATGCTTGGATTTCTTTTTTAACTAATCCACTGAATTGAGAATGAAGTGATAAATCAGTGCACAGATTTTTTTAATATATACAAACACAAATATATTTTTCCCTCAACCATCTGCTGGATTTCTGACAATTAGCAAAGCAGCAAGAGAGGCTGTGTCAGCGTCCAAGCACCAGTGAAACTGACTAAATCCAGGTTAAGTGAACTGCAAGCAATCAATGTTGCACTCCACATCAACCTTTATCGACTTTAGCATGTAATATATATATATTTCTGTATTTTTATCATCCTGTTTTTGATGTTATTGCTCAAAAAAATGAAATTTTCCCAGTTTAAGCTCGCTGCAGCGCTCCCATTTGTGATACAATAAAAGGGGGAAAAAAACACATACAACACCAGCACAGACTTTTCATTACAACACTATCATATCGCATGTGAACAGAGATGGAGCCATTATAAAGACTGTAAGAGTGGAGCAGATTTGAGTGGGAAAAAGAGGACGTTTCCACTCCAGATGAGCCAGAACATGTAGAAATTTGGAATTAAATAAAAAGCAAGGTGCTTGAGAAAGATTTTGGCGTTCCACACTTTGATTTCATACTCACACGCAGCACCGAAGTGAAGATGTCTGCTGTTCAGAGACAGTTCAGTCAGGTCCAGCACTTTTCACTCAGGACTGAAGCACCCATTTTGGCCACAGAGTTCAGTAGTGTGAAGAGTCTCTTGAAAGTGGAAGCAGAGCTGAAGAGACGACCCTAAAAATCATCTGTGACATCAAAACTCATCCCACCAGTCAGAGTCTGTTTTTTCCTGTTACATCAGCGGATTATACGACATGACATCTGACTGGTAATGAGTCCTGCCTTCAGCAGCAGCCACACTGCCAGCCTGCACTCAGTCACAAACACATCCCAGAAACCAGCAGCTGCTGCTACAGAAGTGCCTTCAAACATTTGATTAGCATCCCAGGAGCACTTCTCATCAGCAGCGTCAACACGAGACATTTCTTGGCATTTCACGTCGAATGATTACAGATCTACTCCTACACAGCAGCTACCACTCAAGAAAGCCGCACTCAAATCTCCAATGAAGTCTGATTACCTAGCAACATTGTTTTTAATGGCTTTGAAATTGTGAAGGTGGCAGCGGAACAAGATTTAGGACGTTAAAGAGCTTTTTATAGAGTCCAGCAATGGCCTGAATTTTCCTGAATGCAATTTGCTCCCTGGACAGCCACGCTGGAGATGTGCTCAAACATTGTGTTTTCCTGCTCTGATTGCGCCTCTCCACGCAGTCAAAGCCATAATGAAATCCAAACTGAGACATTTCATTAGAGTTTTGCCTCCTCCTCCAAAAGCCTACGCTCTGAGGCTGAGTGGGCTCCAGGTTCGTGGAGTAACTCTGTTACTGTCGGGTCACAAATGCTCAAACTTTGTAAAATCAGGATGTAAAAAATATCAAAGGAAATTCTTTTCTTGAATTAACAGCCGTGTTTGAGGCGAGAGAAAAGTGCCGCGTGCTCGTGCAGAGCGGCTCAGCGGTCATTAGATGAAGTCGCAGCCTGTCTTCAAAGGCAAAAATCTTAATTTCCACTTTATGACTGAAGGAAAAGAAGCGTTTAAGGAGGGGAAAGTGTCAGCTTTAAAGTTCAAAGTGAGGCTTTTGATTTCATTTAATCATCCAGAATTTGGCTTCCGTGCCGTCAGCGACAGCCGCAGTGGAAGTCAGCGTTGGGGTCCATCAGGAGTTTCTTGCGGTCGACGTGCAGACAGTCTATGTGGTACCAGGCGTCGCACACGTCACACTGGATCCACTGCACCGTGTCCTGCTGGGGCAGCCGGCACCGCGGCGCCGCGCACGGCTCCACCGTGCCAACCATCACGTCGTCCTCTTCCTCGTCGTCTTCGTCCTCGTCCGAGGAGGAAGAGGAGGAGCCGGAGGAGGAGGAGGAGGCCGAGGAGGTAGAGGATGAAGACGAGGAGGACGGAGAGGGCAGGGAAGGCCGTGGGGGGAGGGGGTGTTTCCTGGGGCGGCCGCGTCGCTTACTTCAAGGAAGGAAAACATAAACAGGAAGAAATGAGAAGGCTTGGAGGTGACATCACAAAAAAAAAAGGAGGAACAAATACATTTGTTTTTTTAAACTGTTGCCACTCCATGCCTCACAGAGGAGCTTCAGGCCTTGTTTAATATGAAGCTCCAACATTGTACAGTTTGTATATATGACAGAAAATCATACAGGGCTGTGCTTTGTAGAGAATTTTTAGAAAAACCTTCCAAACTCACCCTGTTGGATGATGAAATCGGTTGAACTGCACGCTAACTCTCTCGTCTGCGCGGATCCTCACCGACGGCGAGGCCAGGTTGTAGTTCTCCCCTCCCACCACCAATGGGGAGAATACGGGGGAGCTGTTGGCTCTCCGCCTCCCTCTCGCCGCGGTCGGGGAGCAATGGGCAGGCTTCTGCTGGCGGAAGGCCGCGATGTTTCCGTGCACCACCGTCTTGACTCTGTTCACCTTCTCCGCCTCTTGTTTGCTTGTGAAGGATGCCTGGAAGAGGTGCTCGTTGAGTCTGCTGTTTGTCATGGCTCCGTGGAAGCTGCCGATGGTCCTGATACCGACGGGGAAGGGCTTGGCCTCCAGCGGCCTGCGGATGTCGCTGTGAGTTTTGGGCTGCAGCTGAGGAGGAGGCGGCGAGCTGAAACCTTCAGATTCAGACTTGTAGAGCCTCCGCCTCTTCTTCCCCCGTGCTCTCTGTCCATCCTCCACAACTCCTGCCAAAACTAAGATCAACAGAAAGACAGCAAGGTAATGTAAGTGGAGACAGAAGCTAATCACACCACTAATTTGTTCTTTTCCCTCCTTTTTTTGCAAGTAAAATCCTTGAAAAGAAAGCAGTAACTTCATAAACTAATATTAAGTCTTTTTAAAAGCTGCCAAAAACAATTTCATGGTAAAAATCTGCAGCTTCATGTCAAAAAGCTCCAGAGAGTAAGCAGTGTCATTCTGCAGCACGCCGCTGTGCTTTACCTCCTCGACTTCTGGGCTCGTCAGAGCTGTCGTCCTCCAGCAGCACCGTGTGAGCCGACTTCCTCCTGCTCCTGGAGGTCTGCGGGAGGGCCTTCGTCTGAGGCAGTGAAGCTGCAGAGGTAAATGATGGAGGAGTGGAGTGTGGGAGCAGGGAGGAAAAGCCCACGGCAAGAGGCGGCGAGGTCGAGGTGCCGGGGTCAGAGACGGTTCCCTCGTGGCTGTGGCTCCTCTTGAAGGTCCAGGCGCTGCCCTTCATCTTGCTCAGGCTGCCGATGGAGTTGAGGATGACCGTGGCTCTGTTGATGGACAGCTTCGAAAGGTCCAGGTTGGCAGCTACCTTGCGGTCCAAGCTGGTCCTAATCCTGTTCTGCAAGTCGGACGAGAAGGTTCCCGCCTAGGAAACCAGATATAAATATTTCATTTAAACCTTCACGAAGCGTAGGCCAAATGTCAATATCCAGAGGTGCGAGTCTAATTTGTCTGGCTGATGCATTTCTTTCCAGAAAAGTCATGGCACCTTTGAGATAATAAATCTGCTTCTGCCTCTTGCTGCAAATCAACTCCATGCATCAGCACTTTTTTAATTGAAGTAGAAAAGTACGATTGCACATGATTTAATCTTCAAATTTCATTTAGTGAGAGTATGCCTCCATGTCTTCATAGATAAAATGCTTTGGGGATTTTCTGTGGGCTTGTTATTGTTTACCAGACATTGTGGTACATTTTTATTGGCATTCTGAATACAAATAGTGCCCAGCACCACCTAATGAATGATGGCTGCACACACTTTGACACAGGAGTGGGATGAAAATTACAGGGTAGAGTCGACATCAACATTTTCATTACTGTCAACATATTACAGGAAAAAAAAGAAGGTAGAAGAAGGCATGTTAGTCCTTTCATTAGTTTCTGTATCGACTCACCTGTCTGTGGCACTCAGACCAAAGACAACAATTTAAAAACCACTGACATCTTTCATCTTTGTAAGAAATCCCATCTTAAGCTGTCACTGTAATTTCTAACAAATCCTTCAAACAGAAACACATAAAGTGCATTTGTTGAAAGACATTTGGTTTCCTAGTGAGTATTTAGAGCAGCAGGGCTGTGAGGGACCAAATCAAGAAGCTATAATAACAGTCTCTGACAAGCATCTAAAATTAATGTCCTTATCGCAACTGGGGAATATTCGTTTTCTTCCCCCATATACGTTAGCCTGCAAGCAAAGAAGGCTGCTGGTGCCACAGAATCTGACTCTTACGTGCATTAAGAAAACGAGACTCAGATGTGACTTTCAGGAATATTTGTTGTATTTTTAGCATAAAGGAGAATCAGAGCAAGCACACAAGCTTACAGATCCATGGGCACCACAATTCTGAGGCCGTCATTCTACCGTTAATGTTACTGCAAACTATTCATTCAGAAATCCTCTAACATTTGCAGACATTAGCAAACAGGCTGGAAAAAGACTTTGAGCCCACTACCCGAATCTATCCGCCCATTTTCTTTAAAGCTTTTCCAGTTCAGGGTTGCAGAGGAGCTGGAGCCCGTCTGTCACAGAGTATCAGGACGGCACACTCTGGACTGGCTGCCACACGACTATACACACCTACAGCTGATTTACAAGCACCCGTTAATCTAATGCAGGAGTGAATTGTTAACAGTGGCTCTGTAGGCTAGAGATTTACTCAACAGAACAATTTAACTTTTTAAGAAAGGTTTAAAATGACTGAAATAGACACAAAATATCTGTAAACTCACTGTTTAACCTCGTCTGTTGAACTTGGCTTGAGTTTTTAAATTTTCATACTTTTAGACTTGTCGATTAGTAAGTTTCTCCCTCCTGTATAATCAATGCAGACTGCTAAAAATAATATTGAGGAATGTCTGAACTGTGTAATGTTGACATATGGACATTAGCAGTGTCACATGGTGCATTTACTCATGCAGCAGACAGAACATGTCCAGATTTATCCTTTGACCCCAGACTTGGTGAGAAACACGAACCTTCGATATCTTTATTTTTTAAGAAAAGTGTCACCATGAGTCTGGCTTCATACTGAATGTAAATAGTTGATTCCAAACCACGAACTTACTTTTGGAAGCGTGATTGCATCAAAGTCCAGCGGGCGAACTTTAACCTTCTGGAAGAGGAAGTAGAACTCCGGGTTCCCTGGATCAGTCTGGCCTCCGAAGATCAGCGTGTCGCCGTCCGAGAGCTCCCACTGTATGCCCGGCTGGAGGCGGACTTCATTGACCCATGTGCCTAGAAACACAAGACCAAGAAGATTTGAAGAAATGTTAAACTACACACTGCCGGGCACAGATCAGCCCTCAAAATAAAACGTTTTAGAGGTTTCTAGGAGGTCACACTGACATGTAAAGTAGTGGGAAACTCTCTGAAGACACAAACGAGCAACAGTTTTACAACTGAAGGCCGACGTTACCGGAGGCTAGATATTCACAGAGCTTTTTAATATATGAATCTGACAGGGGCAAAAAAAAAGAATAAATCATGAGAGCAGAGCCCTGAAATAAAGTCATTCGGTGACTGTGTGTTTACAGCTTCCAGAATCTAGGAGAAATGTAAAACAGTCTGCGAGATGGACCCAGAACTGAGGAGCTGGAAGGCTACAAGGCAATCACACGGCCATGACAGCACAGCACAAAATGAGAAATGCGGGGCGAATACTAAAATGTAACTTTAATAGCAAAAATGAAAAATGTGGGAAACAGACTGTGAAATTACTTGAAAAATTAGGCAGTAAGGGTGCAGTTTAGATTCTGAGCCTGTCGGACAGCGACTGAATGAAGACGCAACGCTCACTCTTAATCTCCCCCTTCCTCACTCCGTGCATCTTCCTGTCTACTTCAGACTGCACTGACGACTCTCAGCAACCTGAGGTTCAGACTCTATCTTGTGTCCTGAATTACTCATGAATTTTTTTGTTTGGTTCTTCTGTTTGTACATTTGCTTTTATTTGTTCTCCTGAAAGTTGAGTTTACTGGTCCATTTCACACTCTCAGCTGTGAACGACCCGTTGAGACCGAATGAAATGGACCTCCTCGGTGCGACTGTTTTTCAAAGCCGGCGTGTGAACGCGTAACATGTTGTCTTCATTCACAGCAGAATGCACCTGGCGGCAGGTATTGTTAAGTTTCAAACCAAATGTCTTAAACTCCTGTTTTTGTGGTGCCTTTTTTGCACAATTTTGTATCCATCAGGCTGTCCTATTATTTCTAACTAAGGCTGAAGCTGATGGCTCTTTTCTTTCCTGCAGGCTCTGAATGGGCTTTTTGGGGTCCTGCAGCAAACACAGTCGGTCCATTTTCAGTGACAGATGATGCTTCTGCATTACGGCATCCGAGAGAAATCTACGCATCTATCTGTTCGTGTCAGCCCCGACTGTTCGGATACGCAATAGTTAAAGCTTTTATTTTACCGGGCTATAAGAATCAGCCAGGATTTTATAAACTTTTTTTCTTTTTATTTGCATGACCAACAGCTGTAATCAAACCAAATGTGATTTGTAAGTAGAAAAAGATGTGGAACGGAGACATGTTTGGCATGTTTGCTTGTAAACTGACATCGCTGATTAATCCATTTATGAAACGCCTGACATTTAATTTATTTTCCGTCTGAAAACTGAACAATTAATCAAATATTTTCTGTCAGCTCTATTCTTAAGCGTAACATTTCTTTTATACGGTGAGCCTGCGGCCCGTTCAGCTGCACAGAGCAGCCGCGCGCATTCTCGCATTGACACCGGTCGGCATCATCTGATAACGCCGCCACAGATATTCATAGACTCTGACATTTTAATAACAAAGGTAATCTTTTGATCAGATATATCCTGTTAATAATATAGAATCACGTGTTGCGACCTCACTGGATGGTGTGAAGCAATGCATACACACATTCAGTGGCCACTTTATTAGGTACACCTCGTTAATACCAGTAATTGCCTTCTTTTTGGTTCAAATTCAACAAGGTGCTGAAACATTAATCAGACATATTGGTCAATGTTGACAGGACAGCTTCACACAGCTGCTGCGCATCACTGTGAATTTCCAGTTCCACCACATCCTGAAGGTGAGCTGGTGATTGTGGAGGCCATTCAAGTAAAGTGAACTCATTGTCATGTTCAAGAAACCAGTTTGAGCTTTGTGACACGGTGCATTACTCTGCTGGAAGCAGCCATCAAATGATGGGCACACTGCTGTCATAAAGGAATAGACATGTTCAGCAACAACACTGAGGTAAGCTGTAGTGTTTAATGAAGGCTCGGTGGGTACTAAGGAGCCCAAAGTGTACAGAGAAAATATCCTTTACACCGTTAGATCTCCACCAGCAGCCTCAACGACTGATACGAGCCAGGATAGAGTCATCCTTTCCCTTTCTAGTCTCTTCTGTAGTGCAGTTCTGAGGATACAGCCCATTGGATCTGTGTCCTCAGTTTCCTGTTTATAGTGGCGTCCCAGGTGGTGCGGTCTTCTGCTGCTGCGGCCCATCTGCTTTGATATGTTATGCATTCAGAGATGCTCTTCTGCAGACACTGCTAGTAACAAACGGTTATTTAAGCTACCGTTTCCTTTGTATGAAGCAGTCTGGTGTCCTCTGATGTCCAACATCATCAAAGTCACTTAAACCAGCGGTCCCCAACCTTTTTTTGCACCACGCACCGGTTTATGCCCGAAAACATTTTCATGGACCGGCCTTTAAGGTGTCGCGGATAAATACAACAAAATAAAACTAGTACCGGTACCGAAAAAAAGAAAATTTATTCATAACACACGTGAAAAGACCCAGGAAAATGGTAAACGATAAAAACCGATAATAAAATAACCCTGAAAACCATATATTTCACACCTGAGCCTCAACTCTCGCGGCCTGGTACCAAACGACTCACGGACCGGTACCGGTCCGAGGCCCGGGGGTTGGGGACCGCTGACTTAAATCACCTTTCACCCGAAGCTCAGCTTGAACTTCAGCAGATCAACTTGATCACATGTATGTGACTAAATAAATTGCTGCCGTGTGATTGGCTCGTTAGATATTTGAGTTGACAACCAGAAGCTTGACAAATTTATCATATTTATCACTACCCAGTGTCAGGTTTATACCACAGTATTGGTAATTACCAAAATCACTCCATGTTTCTGTACTGGTCAGTTCATCATTTCAATGCTAAAACATCATTGTTGTTACTGTTATCCATGAATTTTCAAATATACTGCTTTACAAAAAAGTAACACGCATCATTATTTTTTTTAGTTAAGATGTCAAATTCCAAACTATTTAATTGCATTCCTGAGCAGATACATTTGTTTCAGTGGTTGAATTTTATGCTTGTTTGATTTCTGACTTCTCAGAGAGATTCTGTGTTTTGGCTCGAATTTTGCTACAAAAACATGACTTCAGTTAGAAATTTCTCTCTCCTGTTCAAAAACAGTAAAGTGTCTAAAATGCAGAGAACGTGCCGAACAGGAAGGAGGCTGTATTAAACCACTTTGTGATGCAGGCCGGCCTTTGAAACAAATGGGGTAAAAAGTGTTCTTGCAGTGTGGTCAAGTATGCCTCGGAGTTGATTGCCGGGAGCCGTACTTACAAAAATATGTCAAGGAAGAAGAAAACGAAAGCAGGCTGAAGAGAATGTCAGGCTAAAAGTCAGTGCTAGAAGGAAGAAGACCAGACAGAAGGATGCTCATTTACCTCTGACCTTTACAGGTAATTGCTTCTAGATCATATTCATAGATCTCCAGATAGACCTGAGCAGACGACTGAACAAACGATGCTTAAAGAGAGCAGCTGCTAAGAAGAAATCCAGAAACTCCTCCAAACGCTGGACTGCTCTGAGGTTCTGGAAGAAAGCACTCTGGATGAAAGAGTCCAAGCCTGTGCTCTTTAATCAACACCTTTAACAGGTGTTGAAACATACACTCACAGGTCAGGTGTCTTACACTGCGCACCTCAAAGCTGATACACGTTATGCTTTGTTTAAGATGTAAAGAGGAACTTTCCCCTATATTAAATGCATATTTTATCTTCTGCTGGTTTGCTGTAGAGATGCTGCTTTCACTTGAATTTAACTGAACCAGATGGCAACTTGTCTTGCAGTACCAAAAGTGGAGCCAAGTCTCTTCCCAGAATGCACAGTTACCCCAAAAAGAAATAAATACATCTGCAAAAATCGTGAGCTTGTTTTAAATCATTTCATATTAGGACAATTTGCTTTCTAAAAACTACAACAACAAACCATGGCACCAACATTACAGCACAGCTGAGGGGCAACCCCGTCAGTGTTTACATCCTGTCACGTTGTCATTAGCAGGAGCCCCTCATCACGGCTAAATGCCCATTTACTTCCTTCAGAATGATACGCTAGCAGGTGTAACCGAGTAGTAAACAGTTCCTACACGAAACTGCTCACAACAAGGTTTGTGGATGTTTTTGAGGAACCAGGTGAGGATTTGTGTAAGAAGGACACGGCTGCCGATTTGTTTTTTTTTATCAAATTTTTTGGTGTTTTGAAACCAAACAGTGGGACTGCCATTTAGATCAGTTACAGCACAGAAATAAGCAGCATCTTTAAAACAGATGGAATTGCAGCACTGCAGAGGAGAAATACATGCATTCAAATTTATAATTACAAATAAAACCTGTACACAATCCATTTGAAGCTAACGTCATGCTTCGTGCTCACACTTGCATGGATGGTAAAATCAGGGTCAAAGATCAGGAACAACTGAGTTTAATTCATTCCTTATCACCAACACGCTTTAATTTGAGTTTGATTGTTTGTTTGTTTTTAAACAAATCAAACTAAAATGCTTCTCGGTGGGCTGAAAAATTCTGTAACTGTAACGGTTCCGATAAAATAAAAGTTCTGGGGGCAGCGATAAGAAAAGTTTTTGAAGTTGAGGTTCCAGAGATGCTCTTTGTTCGTGATGCACGCGAGTCTTTACCTGCACGCCTACAGCTGTGTTCAGGAGCGTAATGGCTCACTTCGTTTTGATAATTCGGTCGGTAAATAAGAAGAAGAATGTTTTCACTTCTCGAGTGCACAACAGAGCTTTAGGGGAGGGTTAATTAAGATTTCTGTTTCAGTTTAGTTTCATTTTTTTTAGTTTGATTTTTATATTTCCAGAGAAGATGCGACACATTTTGAAGGCTGCTGAGTGAGAGTCCTGCAGACGTGCTGAAGCCTCATTGATAACTTTGAATAAATTGTCAAAGTTTCAAACTAAAGGACATTTTTTACTGTATTCTTAGAATTTTTTGAGGACTGTTTTTCATGTCAGTTCACTGAAATGTGTTTTCACACTCATTTCAACCTGACTTTAATAAAATACTTCTTCCGTTCTCAGTAGAAGTGGTGTTATTCCTGTAAACAGGTGTGTTTTTACCTCATTCTCTTCCACAATGACTGAGGGAGGGTGTGAAAGTGTGAGAATCTCAGGTTGACTGTGATGCTGTGTGTGAGTGGGTGTGTGTGATTCAGCCCTCGTGTCTCACCATGGCTGCTCCTGTCCTTAATGTGGACCCTCCATCCTTCCTCCTCTTGAGCTTCGACTCCTTCGCCCGTCTCCCTCTCGGCTTCGAGCTCAGCGTGGATGCGGGACACCGACGGCGAGTCCAGTGTGACGTCGCACAGCTCCGCCGCTCGACCCAGGCGGAACACCGAGTGGTTCTGCGCCGGCCTGAAGGTGTACAGGTCCCGCGCAGATTCGCCTGCCGACGACCCGATCCGAAGCAGCTGGAAGCACGGCTGCACCCCAGCCAGCATGGCTGAAGCCTGCGATTGTCTGCCACCACGAAACCCCCCCCAACCTGCCCCACCCAGAGGCCACCCCTGATCTGTGACAGGCCCTGAGTTAGAGCAAGTTACGATCCATTTTTGAACAAACCTGTGCTAGTGAAGAAGAGCTAAAATGAAGCCATTTGCCTTCGACCCAAGAGCACTGACAGCTACCAGCGATCTATACTTGACGATAAAATATTCCTGACATGCACCAGAAAGCAGCGAGTGTGAAGGTTACAGACAGGTGCAGCCGCTTTGAGCAACAGGTGTTTGCATTAGTATGGAAAGCTGATGTCTTCTTGTGTCCTCCTGTGCATACATGAATAAGTAATGAGGATATAGAGTAGCATATAAGCCGGTGAAGTGTGGAAATGAGCTCCCACACTCTGTTATGAGGCCCAGTTTAAACAGACTAAATCCCCCGTGGAGTGGAGGCTAGAAGACGGTGGGCCCAAGAATAAAGAGCTGCTGTGATGCGGACCGAGCCCACGCTAATGTACCGCAAATATTAAACCCCGGAAAAGTAAACCTGGTGGTAACAGGTGTGACTTTTAGCTGGAAAAGTAATATTTTTCAGGTTTGAGCAGCTGTCAGCAGAGGCCTGATCTCTGTGCGTGTGCGTTTGTGTGTGTGGAGGAGATTAAAATCCCAGGCTCGCTGACATCAATTGACATGAGCCGACTCACATGTGGGAAGCCTGACAGGGTGCACCAGCTGGGGACTGTCTAATCTGAAAGAAAACAAGAGAAAAGTCACTCAGATGTAAGGTGCTTTTTCTTAATTGCTCCACTTAGTGTCTGAAGGAGGAAAAAAAACAGCTGAGAAATACAACTTATCTGACACTTAGAGAGGACAGAAAAGCTTAAAACCCCTTTTGTCACATCACACGGTGCAGCAGGTGAAGTAAGAGGATATCACACTTGTGTTAACTGTACACTGTCAGCTGCACTTTTTTAAGAGGTGGCTGCATCGTGCATCAGTTGCCTGCAGACTCCTTGACAATCACGGGATCAGCACACAAAGCAAAGCACACAAACCGAAACAAATTCACACAAAAAACTCGCTTTTTCAAATAAAAACTCAATATATTCTCGTTTAAATGCGCATATTTGACGAAGCCCTGATTGCCTGGCGTTAAAATGAGGTTTAAGATAAGCAGTGGTTGCCGATCAGAAGCAGGCTGAAGCTAGCTGACGTTAGTTCCTTGTAGGTGGAGTGAAAGTCAAAGCAGCCACTTACAACAATGACAAAGCTGGCCACCGACTTCATGTCTTTAAATCCTCAGATCCACGCAGATTGACTCACTCCACGGCTCAGCGGGGGCGTTTCACCCATAAAACACCGGCTTAACTTTATTTTTCTGCGGTATTCTGTCGCCGCTGTTTGCCGGACTTCGGTGGGTCTTCTCGCCGTCTTTCCTCCCAGGAGGAAGTCCTTTGAAATTTGGCGCGCCACTCCGGGAGCTTCCTTGTGCGAGAAGCGACGTCACGTCCTGCCCCGCCCCGATTGGCTGCGGGCCAGGGCGCCTTCAGCGGGAGCAGGAGCGGCCCGGCCGGAGGAGGAGGCCCGACGCAAGTGTCACAGCTGGGCTAGCCACTTTACTCAAGCTCAGCAGGCCAAACTGCCGCACAGTGAGCAGTAAAAGTAGTTTACAGAAGTTTAACAGACAAATAAGGGTTAAACTCAAACACAGGGCAAACAACAAAGCAACATATTTAAAAGCAGCTTAAACTGTTCTCACAAAGAGCTGTGAACAGGACCTGAAGTTAAGAAAAAACGAGGAAAATACTGTTAGAGCGGTAGATGCTGGTGCTGTGCAGCACTACAAAGTTTGGTATAGATCTGATTACTAAATCTAAGTAAAGCTGTATAATAACTGAGCGCTGTAGCAATAGACTGTGTATGCCTGTACAGGCAATAATATAAACTTAATAAGTTTAGTTATATAGCGCCAGATCGCTACAGCGGTCACCTCAGGGTGCTTTATTGCAAGGTGAAGACCCAACAAGAACAGAGAAAACTCCAATAATTAAACAATTCCCTTCAAGCAAGCACTTGATGACAGTGGCAAAGAAAAACTCCTATTTAAAAGGATGAACCAGGATCAGGGAGGGGCAGCCGTCTGCTTCGACCATTTGGGGGTGATGGCAGAAAGACAGGATAAAAAACACACACTGTGGAAGAGGGCCAGAGGTTATTAATAAGAGCAGTGTCATAATTAATGAGACGATTCATTGTCAATTTGCAAATTCTGAACACATTTTAATAACCACACTATGATTTTGAGTTAATATAAGAAAACACATTTTCCTGTATTTTGAAACAGGGTTCTGTAAAAACCTGAAATGGAAATGTGTTTGTCTCTAAAGCACTTATGGACTCAGCTTATGTGCACTTTATAGCATGAATGAGATGAAGCACTTTATACATTATATCTCATTCACCCATATACATGCACACTAATACAAGCACTTTTTCTACGTTTAAACTCTATATTTAACATCCGCACTCCAATAAGCACAACTCAGGGTTCAGTATCCTACCCAAAGATACTTTGGCATGCAGACTGGAGCAGCCGGCAATTAAACCACCAACCTTCCTGTTAGTGGATGACCCACTCTGAGCCACAGCCATCCCAGCGGATGACAACGGCCTGCCAGAACTGCCCTGCCGACGAATCCAGTTCAGCCCGCTGGCTTTGCAAAGTGTGAAAATTGAAGTTCAAAATTACTCTAATTTTCTAATAAAATGAACTGCTATTCCCATGTGGTGGAGCTTCCATGTGCCTGCTACACAGGAGTGGAAGCGCATAGAAAGTTAAAAGTATTTCCAGAGCTAGACAACTTATTTAAATGATAAAAATATAAAATAGTAATACTTCATTCCAAAAACTCCACATGTGCAGGTGTTGTGGTTTTCCACTGTTATAAACTATAATGTAATAGATTCAATCAATGTGGTAAAACTGATGCATTTTCTTAAAATTGTGCTTATTTATCTTCTTTATTCTCATTTGTTTTATAAATGGGTCTCTTTGTAAATGAGAAGAACAACTGAAAAAGAAAGTATTCCTCATGTTGTCGAGTAGTCTTTAAGATATTCTAGAAAAATCTGTGTTCATTTAGGCCTTTGTTTGGTGGTCTGATCGAATTGGAATTATAAACTGAGTCTAGAGGGCTTTTCAATACAGCAGAACTGAGTTTATCCAACAGAGTGGTTTCCTCAAAGTTGCAGCACACTTATTCATGCTGTACACACCCAGTAGCTCTATGCAGAATAACTAAGTTTAAGTATAGACAGCATAAAAGTGAAAAACGGTGGTAGCGCAGTGCAGCGTTGCCTGACAGCAAGAAGGTTTCTGGTTTCACCCTCAGGCTGTCGGGATGTTGATGCGTGGAGTTTGCATGTTTTCCCAGTGCCTGCATGTTGGTCTCAATCTGGGATTCGATGGACAGAAGTCTGTGAAACAAACTAAACCCACAAAAACTGCAGTAAATTCTCCAAGATGCTTCAAACACCCTTTGTGCCAAGTCCTCAGAAAAACTTACACAAGCCTTCTGAAATGATTTTATTTACACTCACACATCATAAAGTCTGATTTAAGATGAGAAAAGAGACACAAAAGAGTCTTCAGGTCAACTCACAGTCATGGCTAAACGCTATTATTCTGCACAAACACAAACATCAAGGGGAAGGAACAGCAAGTGAGACATTGTCGAATGCAGGATGTCAATAGTAGCAGCAGGCACATTAATAGTCCTCATTTGTATTTGTGTTGTTTTTATGTGATTCTGTTAATGGGAATTTTGTTAATTTGATGCAGCAGGAGGAGCGAGTCAGAGGGAGCATTTATTCTCATTTAACTGTTTATTATTAGTGCCTGTTTAGAGGGAACCCATACAGTGATTATATTTATAAGGAAATATGTTTCCTGTTGGTGTGTTTTTGCCTTTTATCATTATCTATGATTCGGGATAATGTTTCTTAAAAGTCTGCACTACAACCTCTAAAGCACTGAGATAATATTATGCAAAAGGACTTAAGCGGCACCGATGCCTACAGGCAAGCACTGCACAATCAACTGGAGTGCTTTCATCACTACTTCCTATTACTTCTGGGTATATTTAGGTGAACTTAAAGAATTCAAAATGTGCTCTGTGCTTTCTCGGGAAAGTAGTTACCTTCTTTTACAGATTAAAACCATTTATATATAATGTGGCTTTTCTGATATGTTTTGGAAATGCGTGCTAATCCTTTATTGAAGTTCAAATGAAAAATACTTGAGTTGAATGAAGGAAACGGAAAGAGTACCTAAAAAAGCAGCGAGACAAAAATATAAATCTCGTGATTCGCTCTGGGTTGAAAATTCATTTAATTGGAATTATTCAGTCATTACAGAAAAAAAGAGGAGCTTTACAAAAGTATGTGCCATTATGCCAAAAGGTCTCAAAGGTAATACAAATAAGCACATGTTGTTGTTCCTTCAAGCAAACCAGGCTTGTTTATGGCAGTACACTGAAGTATTGTTAGAGTCAATGACTACATGTGAGACCTGAAAGACCTGATTTGTTTTTCAAATTAAAGCAAGATGTTCATCAGAAAAGAAAAAACAGAGGAAAGCAATCGGACCAGAATTCCTGGTATCATTCAAACAGGTACAATCATGTCTCCTTGAATCGTTCTGTCTCACTTCCTGTGACCTAGACTCACAATATTAACACAGATTTCTATGTTTCAGTGTTTTTTCTTCACAAAATTAGTCAGAACTCAGCACAACCTGCATATTTCTCACATTTTCCTCCAAAATGCAGGCTAAAAAAGTTAACCTGCTTAAAGACTGTTTTGCATCAGACATTAGAGGCTTGCCATTCAATTACTTTCTCCGTTTAACCCCACTGCTCAGCATAAAGAGAGACACTTCACTTTCAAATCAGCTGATAAAAAACAGTCACCTTCTAGCTTTTAGTGTAAAGTCCACGGAGACAAAAGATCACGGGGCGATCAAACTGAAAGAGAAAGTGAAACGATCCCAGCACGCTAAAAAAAAAACAACTTCAAACACAGTCCTAAATAAAACATTAGAGATGTGTTTTTGCAGAAAAAGCTACGGTAATATCGACAATGACAATACTTCTGATGGGCTAAAACAACAAGGAGGATCCAGTTAAGCTTCAAGAACCACCCTGACTACCTGATCCTTTTAAGCCAAGGAGATAAACACACAGGTAGACTTAATAAACAGACCGGGCATGATGCAAGGTGCACCCAGTGTCAGTGTAATATCCAGTCACATAAACTAAACATCTGTAATACAAATTTTAATGCCACTTAGAGTCAGATCATGCATTTCAGATTTGAAATAGACATCAACTTGACAATTAAGAATTTCAGTCTATGCACATTCAGCCGTGTGTTAAAGGAGAACACCAGGCAATCTCATTTTAATGCATGCCATTTTATTTTTGTCAAAAACAAAAATGAAAAAGTTAAATATGATAAAAACACATTTCAAGACTAAATCAAATAAAGGCAAAATTCTTCAATATTTCACACGTTTATCATTTATTTCATACTGGGTGTTAATAAATGCAACAAACATCCACTTCTGAAGGAAAATCAATTTTATGAACATATGGCAGAAAAGTACATGTGAAAAAGCACTGATATTCATCCTCAACTCACACTCGCAGCTGAATCCCTGCAGTGAAAGGTGACTTTTTTTGTAAGGTTAAGGAGGATCATGGGAAACAACAGCCACGAGTTCACAGTGAACTCTGGTGGCCGGCTGTACAGAAAAGTGCAGTTCACATTATTATTATCAATATTAGGTCACGTCTGCTGTCCCACAAGCAATCTACTGGTCAGCATGCTGCAGTTACACTAACTCTTAGGTATACTCGGACAGCGGGTATAGGCTATAATATCAGAGTAAGGAGAAATACTAAGCACAGATAGACTAGTTTTTTGGTGCTCAATGTGATGCTATAAAAAGCCCAGACAATGAAAGTCATTCATTCAAAGGAGGTGAGTTTTTAAGCATATCCACTTCTCTCCTCTGAGATCAAGTACATTTATTTCAAAGTAAAGACATTTATTATATGATTTTTTTTCATACGTACATTTATTAACCTTTTCTTACATGAAAAACATCGGCAGGTGCTGGGAGGCTCGCGATAGGTCAGAAGTTTGACTACAAAACAGATTTCAAGCAGAAAATGGTACACCGCATTTCTGAATAATTCACAATGCTGCTCAGAGCCAAAGTGCTGCCGAACCGGGATCAGTTTGTCCAAAAGATTACCGGCAACATTAGCGTGGTAAAATATTGCACTCAGAGTGACGGAGTGATAAGTGCTTTCCAATTAGTTTCTCCAATTATCCGTCATGAATCAGAGATGAGACTAAATTCAATCACAAAAGCCACTGATTTGAACTGGAGTGAATTAAATTTAATTGATGTGAGAGTCAGAAGCTGCAGTGAACAGTAGTGTGGATATTTCGTGCGAGAGCGTATTTCTGTTATGATCAGAGGTATTAGCGCACTGCCACACTGCAGACATCATTTCGTGTTTTTTTTTTATTACATTCTTTGGATTTACAGAGAATAGTAGATTAAAAGGAGAGCGAATCTACCAGAACTGAAAGAACATTTTATTAAATCTCCCCCTACCCACACACGGATCAACACTTCTGTTCTGAGAGGCTTTGTGAATAGCAGCTCAGATGTGTAATGAAAGAGAAAACATCAGACTGAGGATGAATGACAGCAAGTGAAATCCTTTCATAAAGCCTATGTCAGCCGTGATTGCCTGAACCTAAAGTTTTATTATTCCAGCAGGCACAGGCTGCGATCCAAAGGAGGGCGGTGTCCTTTCAACCTGCCAAGCACAAAGTGCCCTCCAAAAGAGGCTTTACGGTGCATGTTCGATCTGAAACCTTTCATCTTTATGAAGTAAAACGCATTTGAGAAAGTATGCTGCTCTCAAAATTGAAGTACACAAAATAAAACGTCAACCAGGATCTGAAATATCTGCACGTAAATGTTAAATCTTCCTGACGAATGCATCTCAGATATTCTGATGTGATAACTTCATAACAGCTCAGACCGAACAGTAAGCATAGCAGGCAGATATTTGTCTTGAGCAGTATCTGGGGCTCCACAAAGGACTCCATATATCTGCTGAATATCTTGGCAGCCTGTGCAGCAGATATACCCCGCTGTGGTTAAATGGAGCTTTTTTTAAAAATTCGACTTAGCATACAGCAACATTTTGAATAATATGCTAATTATGTTTCTTGTGCCACAGTAAAACTGCAACACGTCTGGCAGCACGACAAGAACAGCATCCTAGTTAAGATGCATCGTTTCCATCTAGCTGCTAGCTTTGCAGATGCCAGATAAATGGCTTAAGCTGTCTCTAAGGAAGGTTAGCCTGTAAATTAACAGGCTGAATTATCTGAATCTTGGTGGTTACGTGCAGCATGATCACAAGAGGAACGTGTATCTGATGCTTTAAAGTTGATAAGCCCTGGCAGGCCCTGGCCTTGGTACAGGATGCACTTCATGTTACCTTATCACAAACCTTCAGACACTCTGTAACTTAGAAAAAAATCCCAACTCTGCTACTAGTTAATAATTATATAAAACATGCAAGCAAACGATGCATCAGAAATCATTCACAATTTTATGTCTCTCTCTCTCCATATATATGAATATAGTGAATTGTGTATATATAGTGAATATATATGCTACGTCTAAGTGTCTGGTATCCTTTTTCCCTATCGTGCACTTAAAATATACCACAATGCTCTACTAAATAGTGTAAGTACAACTACTACAAAAGATGCCATCGCACGCTGTGCTGAAAGGTAAAATGTTCTGTTTATGACACTGAGAAAATCAGCATTAATACCCAAAATACTGCCAGTTTATTAAGCTGATGCTGTTATGTTTTAACTCTGTGACAGCAGCAGAGAGTCACCTGACTGATATTAGAAGGTTTGATCACAGACAGCTGTCTACACAGAACTTCCTTTACAGGCATCAGCTTATAACGAATGAGTGAATGATTTCAGGCACGACCAGAATCACCTGGGACTTTCCTGGAGTTACAAATTTGGGCAAGAAACCAAAGAAGCGTGCGCGTATTTATGAGAAACAGATGCGTTTCTTTACATATCATCAATTTATTATCCTGTAACTATATCCTACTGGCCTGCATTTGGTTGGATTTCTGGAACTTTATGTGAATCCGACATTCCTGCCCCGGTCTCGGAGGCAGTGCGAGGTTAAATCAACAGCGCTCTTGATGCTTTGCACCCCAGAGGCGGCAGAGTCTCTGCTGACATCAGCTTTGATGAAAGGACTTCACAGATCACGACCGAGGCCCAAACACACAAACATGGCATGAGCTACGAGTCTTCCCAGCTAAAGGCATAGTTTTCTGCTTACTGTCGATGTGTGGTTAAAGGATAAATGCAGCTTTTTAATAGTATAAAATCTTGCATAAGCCTTGCAGTAAGAAATATGTTAGTATTTTCACACTATACACATGCAGATCACATATCTGTATATTTACAACTGTGAAAAAAGGATACCTAAGTGAACATGATCATGTTAGGATGTGCTACGCCTGATTCCTCTTTCCTGTGGGTGATAGTAATGTGTAAGTGCTATAATACTAATATTGCTTTAGAATTAATTGAAACTCCACTGACCATCAATTTGCTCACCTAACAAGAGTTTTGGAAGCCCCTCAGTTTACACATGAGCAAAAGCACATCCATAGAAAACAGCCATATAAAATCATTCAGTCACATTAATGTAGGGCACACAAGTCATTGTAAACACATGACACTGAAATACGCAACTCAAACTAAGTTTTCCTGAATAAGAAGGGAACGAGCTAATAAAAAGTCTATGTGTTTGCTAATCACCTTACTGTATTTACAATAGCTGCTTCTTATCTTTTACCCTTTTTAAATACAGTATGGACCCTTTTTAACATTTAAAAAGGGATTACTTGTTAAATTTTGTGCTTTTCTTTGCCAGGCATCGATTATCTGCACCTGTCTGACCGCTATTAGTCACCCTGGGAGGTTTGGATCGTAAATCTCTCTTTTCCAGTTGACATTGATTCGGTTACAGCATGAGGTAGCCGTACTGCTAACAGCTGTCAATGGCAGCCATAATAGTGATATCGAAATGTGGACTCGATGATGAAGATAAGCGTGGTTCGGGTGTGATTCAGAGGGTGGAGCGTGTGCCTGATGTTTCCGTGACACAACCCTGGTGGTATCACGGACTGTCAGGCCCTGCGGAGGACAGGAGATGCCTGGACGCCGTTTCGTCAGCGCCGTGAGATGCCTCGTACTGCGGTGTAAATCAGCTTCCAGTGACCTGGATTAGCCCACGAGCTCCTTTCACAGCGAGGAAGGGGAACCAATTAGTCAGAAGCAGTTGTTAGGATGGAGAGAGCTTAATCTAATTGACTCTGTTCATGCTTCTTTTAAAAAACTTTTTATCTGCCGTCACTTATTCCATTTCTCACCTGTAGCGTCTGTGTGTGTTCTCCCACAAAATGTTTTGATTGCTCTTAAGTGACCGCTAATTTACCAAACCTCCTCATGTGAAAAGAAGCCCCTTCAAAAGAAGAAGAAAAAGCTGATTTTATTCAAGGATGTAATTTAAAAGAGATTTGACTACATCTCCAGCCCATTCTGTGGCCTCTTTTTAAAATCACACTTTTTAAGCTCAAATCTGCAGCACGATTTCACAATTCGAATGCCCTTGAATGGATGAAAGGTGGCCGTGCAGCACTTAAACTTAAATATTGCTCTTACTTCAGTGATTGAACAGATTTTGAGCGATGCCTTTGTAACATTGTAACATTGTAACAGCTAAGTCAACAACACTGGACTATCATATAGTGAATTATGTGATAAGTTGGGATTCATAAAGCACAAGCAACAAGTTTAACTCTTAATTTGTGATTTGTATCTTCTCCTCTTTTTAATTTCCTGTTTTTAATGGGTTGAATTGACTCATTCCTCCATACGAAGCACTGAGTGTCTAATAATGTTGTTTCGGTTTACACGAACCACCCCCTCCACACACACACACATTTACACTTCTCACGACTTATTCAGTCTCCTTCTGTTGAGGCTGCGGGCTGCATCGTTATCGCAGACTGATCCAAACTGTGCCTTTCCACTCACTTCATTTTGGCAAACAACCGGGCTACAATAATTGGAGCACCGTGAGATGGATTGGGGCTGAGATGAAAATAGGGGGCTTTAAATCATGCAAGTCATTTATCTGTTCGCCGAATAGAACACTGTTCCATCTCTGTCGTCTCTTTTATCACCGCTCCTCACTCGACGGTGTCCGTGAATTGGTCCGTCTGCAAAGAGACCGAGAATCCAATTACGTTCTCAGGAGCCGTTCCAAAAGCCCCAGACGTGTTGAACGCTAGTCTCTGGATTTTATTTTCCTCTGACAGGGCTTGTGACAACTCCCTTGGGTGGGTAAAACAGATGAGGACAGTTTCTGCAGTTAGTTGTTTTTCCCCTCTTTTTTTTAGCTTTTATCATTAGTGCGAGTGAGATGAAGTGGACGTTTAGGCGGTTTTCTCCAGATGATGCCTTGAATTTGGCAGATTTGACACACTGGATATAAGAGAAAGGGAAACAGCCATCTAGTAGTAGGGTACTCAATCTAATCTAGCTTGTTTCACTTTGCAGGTTTTTGAGAAATAATACCTCGAGTAGATTTTTCTCTGGGTAAATGACTGCTGGAACAAGCACTTTTGTCAGAGATGTGGAGGCGCTCTCCGACATGCTTGTACTGTTAATAATAGAGAGGCTGCGTGTGGGTGGGCTGAAATGCAATCATCACTGTGTTTGTCTGATGCAGTGAGAGCAGACAAAAGTGCTGTCAGAGGCAACGCATTGAGATTCGCCATTGGAAAGGGAGACGCTCTCTGCTGTTATTGTCATTAGTAGGCTTGGTCCTAGAAAATAATGTCTGATTCCTTGACGCGCGCTGGCTCTACCTGTCAAACTGTCACACTGCTGTCGCCTTTTTTTGACCAGTTTTCACAGGAATCATAATCATTTGATCCCCTTCAGCCGTTTCCCTAAAAGTGATGAATGTTTTTTACCCTTTTCGTGTCATCACAGCTTCTTTTGTGAGCCTATGCTTCTTTAGCAGGCATGCAGTCTACTCTAATGTCAGCAATGTCCTGTAGATCTGAACTATGATAGCTACTCTAATGTTTAATTTAAATGCATGCATTTTCCAGATGCACGGAGCTGCTTTTGATACAGCTTTAAATTTTGCATTGTGCGTTTTGAGCATCTGCTGCTTTAGTTATTTTCTTCTAGGCTAGACTAGACATCTGGATCCAAGCTTTAACGTTTGTCTGTGATGTTGCTTCAAATGCAGTGACGAAGGACTTGATGATGTGAGATATGATAAGTTCCTGCCAGACGACTGTGGATATGTTGGGAGAGGTGAGCTTAAAAAAAAATACACCCTGGTACTCCCTCTCAGGTGCTCTGGGCCGTTTCCTCCTTCTGCTCACCTTCTCCACTCTCAGCCCCTCCCTCCGACTTGGCCGTATCTGACTCAGCAGTGCCTCTGGAGGCGGTTCCCGGCGATGCAGCACCACGGAGGCTTCCATCAGGGGTCGCAGCTGCGAGCGAGTGAGGATTAGAGATGGGGCTCAAGGCAGAGTCAGGGGTTTGGCTAGCGCTGAGGTCGCCATCAGGGACCACAGTGGCCTCCAAGCCCTCGGAGTGCGATCCTTCAGAGATGGCTGGAGGGGAAGCGGCATTCAGCAGGGGCTTGTGGGAAGCGTAGGTCATCGCAGCATCTGTGTCGCTGTCCAGTGGGAGGCCAGAGCTGGTGAACTCGACTCCGGAGTCACTCATCTCCAAAAAGTTATCTGAGTTGAGAGTGTGGTAGCGGCCTGGTTTGGACACCTCGAGGCCCTGCATAAAAAGAGGCAGAAGAAGATGAAAGGCAAGATAAATATACAATTCAGAAGAGTTAGGATGCAAAGTAAGATGAAAGGAAAGATAAAGGAGGAAAAGAAGAGTAAAAGAGGAGAAAGTAGGACCCAACAAAAGATGAAAGTAAGACAAAGTAAAGTTGAAAAAAACAACAACTAGAAAGTAGAGAGGCGATAAAGCAAAAGAAAGCCAGGTAGAAGGGTAAAGAGGAAAATATTATACAGGGACAGAGGGCTGAGATGAAAAGACAAAAGAAGCAGGAGTCGATACCCCCAACAGGGCGTAGGAGACGAAGGAAGGAGGTGATATAGGATCGAAGAACGGAAGAAAAACAAGTGGTTAAAATTTAGGTCAGAGGAAAAAAGTGAATAATTTATGTACATTTCTCCAACCGTATTTATAGACTTACCTCACCATCTACTGCAGCCATCCCTACTCTTATGTTACATGGACACAAACAAAGAGGTGCAGCAAAATGATAAAGAAAACACCCGAATAGATCAAATCAGAGTTATACTAAATGTTTGGCCTGTAAGATGTGGGCTACACCTGCTTTCAGTGTTAAATGTAGAAATCACATTTTCATTGTTGTTGTTCCTGAGATTCAAAGCTCTCTGTTGTCACATGCATGTTGATGTAAGACAACAAAACTCAATTTAACATTAACTGTAAGACATGTTTGTAACAATAGACTAAATTTAATTTAAATTTTATCCAGATGCTGCTGCGTTGATTTTTGAAACAACAAATTTAGAAAAGAACTGTAGTTTTATTGTGATATTCCACGTTGGAGAGCAAGAATTCCTGCGGGAGCTTGAATCAACCGTTTTAAAGGACTCCCTGAACCTTGACCACTTCACTTTCTTTACTCCTTTATTGCAGTTATAAACTTGAGTCTAATTTGTTCCACTGCCGAGTGCAGCGTGTAAGGTCGATTGCATTTTAATTACTCTTGGCACTGAGGTGACATTTTATAGCAGGTAGTTTCTGAGCAATCTCAAACACAAAGATGGGCAATGATGTTTCTGTCTTTAAATCTTTTTTAATCTTTTTTTAATTAATATATTACTTTGAGCGCAAACTTTTCCAAAAGTACACCAGGTGTTGGACATTATTAAGCTTCAGATTGTTCTCATAATCAAGATCAAGACTTCAGTCTCAGACGATATTGCTCTAATCGTTCTTGTATCTACAGCTCTTATCACTAACAATTATGTAACCTATACAAGCTGATGGTGAAACTCTTCTTCTGTTGACCTATTAGCCTGATTTTCACGCCAGGACCAAACAACATCGCACAAAGATAAGAAGCTGGAGCCCAAAAATGCTTATTCATCTGGCTACACACCAGTATTCTTATTATCCTTTATTAGCTGAACAAAAATGCATCTAGTTTTAGGTTTACACTAGTCAAAAAAGCAACATGAGTTTTATATCATGAATATTTGAATATGTTCTCCGTCTTTGTTTTAATCCATTTCTCAGCATATAATTTTAAACCCTTACATAACACAAACTTGAGTAGTTGTTGGTTCCTGTTGATTTTAGTCAATGGCAGGGCCGTAATTTGTTTACCGAGTACAAATACGCTCACTTCAACTCCTTAGAAAAGGTTCAGTTTACTACATTATTATGCCAGTGGTCTCAAAAATACAAATAATCAGTGTGTGCACAACACTGTGATCAGTGTCATCATGCTGCAAATGACAAAGCTGCTCCAGGCCAGTTTATTTGCATGCCAGATGCCAGCGTGCAGGTCTGAACTGTTGCTGCAGCCTTACATGACCCTGAGAGCACCACGTCTGAACTTGGTGAAAATGTGACGAGACAAAGATCAGCTGCTCCAACCTGTACCTCTCTGCCAGCCATACAGCTGCATCCCAGGAAAATCTGGAAACACTGTCAGAGCAGAAAAGGCCCGAGATACTCAGGGTCGATGTAATCATCACTGGCAGCCACAACCAATGACCACTGCACAGCTGCAGGCTATACCCAGGAATGCAGAGCAATTCCTTAGCAGCTAATCCTTACACTTGTGCACTGCACAGATGGCTGACTGCTTGCTTCACATCCACAGACCATCATGTTAAATGTCTCATATATATATTTTTTATAGTGTTGGTCTATAAAATCTAATATAGCTCAAACTTTGAATACGAAAGTTAAAAAGTTAACACGCCACAAAGTTCTCCAGCTGGTCGTGGGGATTGTACAGTTTTATGAGCACGTAAGAACCATGAGAGTGAATAAAGCTCAGCTGTGCAACAAACTTGCCCATTGAAAGCCAAGATGTGAATCATCTTTCTCTTCATCTGTCTTTCAGATTATGTGTTACTATGTTGATGCATGGTTATTAAAATATCTATGAATTTGCAGCTAAAAAACCAAGTTTGAAGCTGTGATCTTTTAATTTCTATGTTTTATTTATCATTTTAACATGTTTTTGCATTTTAATGGCTTTTTGTTTCCACCACTGACCTTGATGGTGACCTCTGTGCTCTCCGTGGGTTTATCACACATCGACTGTGTCAGCGATTCCTCGGTGAACCTGCTGTAAGCCTCACGAACCACCTGCAGACACACACACAGAAAGACACATACAAACATGCAGGATGCATGTAAAAATCGACCCTCAACAGCAGCTGTTTACACATCGTTTCATCATACATGTTTTACGTTACTACAGGACAATGACACACATACACAGGCTACATTTAACTGCACAGAAAGCTCCTAAACGGATTAAAAAGGATCCTTGTGTGACATGACAGAGAGCACTTCTTTGTCTTCATGTCAGGGATGGAGGTTGAGAGGAAACAGAGCCCAGGGGGGAGTTACAATATTTCACAAGTGCCTATTCACTTCAACTGCAGGGAAGACAGCATGGGGGCAGATTGACGATACAGTAGATGGACTCAAGGTGCACTCTGAAAGTTTTAAAAAGGACAAGAAAGAGCCAGATGGATGTGCTAAAAAAGAAGGTAAAGCAAGAAAAATCGGGATGAGTGGAGATGTGTACAAGAAAAGTGTGAAGGCGTAAACAGGAGAGGTCTGTGCATTTTAAATAAACTGTCCATTAGTCAGCACAGTGGAGGGATAAGGACACAGACAGGGAACGGTGTGGATTACAGTCGGCATTAAGCAAACGACTGACTTTGTGCTTAGAGAGAGAATCCTGCTGAGGAGGCTGTGCAGATAAAAAAGATTAACTTCAAGATCCTTTATTAATTAAATAAAATCATACTTGATTAAAACTTGGTTGGCATCCACTTCAAGGTAGTCTTTCTGGTAAAGCTGGTACTCTTTTGCTTATTTTTTCAGCTCCCACAGGAACACCTGTTCTGATCACTTCAACTTGTGGTTTTATAGTGTGCACCGTATCTCTTCTAATAAAATCTGGGAGACGGATGCAAAGCTGCAAAAAGCCAAATCTGCCAAGAGCAATGGGCGGGCTAAACATGGAGGACTAAACATTTCCACCTTTTTATTGCGCTGTGTGTCAGCAATGACGTGACGTGGCACAGTGTGACTCGAGGAATTCATGGTTCATCGAAACAGTTTAGAAATGTATGAGAACATGACCTTCAAGAGTATAAAGAAATTTTATTGCTTTAAAAGTTACTGTTATGGATGGACTCGCAGAACTTTTTTATCATGAATGGAAATTTACTGTTGTTTGTTCTGTGGTGTTTGAAGGGTAAATGATTGAAGGAGCACACTGCTTGTCTCCAGTTTACAAAATTTAAAAAAAAAATTCCTTTAAAATATCCGCTAAACATAAAAAGGATGAAAACTTTGACTTTTTTTTAACTTTTTTTGAATAAATGCAGCTGATATGTTAGCAAGAAGTTCCATATCTGATGTCTTTTTACCAGCGAGGGAAGCAAAGAAGTAGTACAAATAGAGGGGGAGGAGGGGGCTGGAAAGATAAACATGGTATTTGACAGACAGCAAGCAGGAGTAAGATAAACGTCAGTAAATGTGACAGAAGAGACTTAAAGTGGAAGAAATAATCAGCAGATAGTGAAGATGTAGAGAGGAGAGCAGGATGGTGAGATGGATGTAATAAAATGCTAAGGATGAGACAAGCGGTCAGGTGAGGTGATGAGTCAGGCGTGATTGATCTGAGCTTCATGTCAGTCTCTTGGGTTAAGTCTCGAAAGGTTGCTGACATCCTCTCACACACGTCTGAGATCTAACAGCTACAAGAAAATCCATAACAGCGAGGCCGCCTGCTGTCATCTCAACCTTAGCTGTCAACACGCAAACACACATCAAGCTCACACACAACACCACAGCTTTAACACACATTAGAGATTAACACAAATGTACAGTACATCACTGGTGATCACAAACAAAACGTTAGGACTCACAAACATACACTCAGAAAAAGTAACCGCACAGAGACAAATACAGTGAGGGCTGGAAGGCTCTGCTGCTTTAACATTTCTCCCACAATCATCAGTAATCATGAAAAATTGAAATAATCACAGGTCAGGATGTGTTTTATTGGGTAAATATTTGTTAGAAAAGGTGCAGGGAAATAAATGCAGGACGGCCAGGAGAGCACATCAGGGGAGAGGGGCTGAGATAAAGACTAAAGGGAGGGCACGACTATATAAGTACAGAGATAAGATACAGGTGAAGATAAATACGCTAAAACTTTGAAATAATATTCTAAACTTGAATGAACGAGGCAGAGGGAAACCCACAAGGCTTGAAGACACAGACAAAACTGAGGGAAAGGAAAGAGCAGGGAAATACCGATAACATCATCAAGTCATAAACCACAAACACAACAACACAATCACAAAAATCAAAAACGTCAAACACAAGGAAAGCAAAGAAATCCAAACTCAAAAGCAACTCAAATTTTTAACGTCCTGATTAAAACTGAAGCAACAGCAGCTGATATTTATTTAACAGTAGTGAGCTGTAACAGTGACTGTAGTGTAAATGTAGTTAAAATAAACAGAGTGAGAAGAATCACCCTTTGATGGAAACTTAATTAAGGCTAAATTAAGGATGTTTTTTTATTTTGAAAAGCATCCATGACGCGGTATTTTTAGCCATCTTTGGTGAGCAACTTCAGAGCTTTTGTCCAAGCAGCTGACAGATTTTTTTAATTAACACTTTAAGAAGTGATATTGCTCCATAGCGCCTTAAATCTGTAAAGTCTCAAATGACTTTTTGCAGCTTTAAGTTGTAACTGTGAACAGCGTCGAAACTATTTCTTGTTTTTTGAATTGGAGGGAAACGAGTTTCCCCAATTTGGATGAAAAAAGTGTCCAACATATTCTAGTTGAAATTACATATTGCTTCATAAAGAGAGTGAGTTTTTGTAATATGTAGCATATTTTTAGAAAACCTATGTTCTTGTAATGCATAACAAGCCTAAATTGAGACTTGAAACGGTTTTACATGAGAACATTTCTTGGAAGGATTGTTAGATGTTAGATAATAAATCATAATTGAATGTTCCACATAATTTGTTTCTTGGAAAATGGAGGGTTCAGGCCAGCAGCCTGCTATTTATCTGTTAAAACCAGGGGAGAGTTAATCCTTTTAGGAGCTTGGCTTCGAGGCATAGCCTGAACTTATAAAGAGGACTAAGACTGTAGAAAGACCGAGAATCACAGCTGTGGTTTTTTGTGTGAAATCCTGTTACAATCACATTTCCTGTGCATGTAAAATATGTGATAAAGGAAAAGTCTTGACCTGATTCACGCTTGTAAGATTTCTTTCTTTCTTTCTAAGGAGGAATTCCCCCGACAGGATCCAGAACACAGCATTTAACCATTTTTAAACTTGTTATACATAAATAAATGAGCAGAATGTTACACAATAAAACAATGTTTTTTAATAAGACTTTAAATCAGATCACTTTACAAACCTGATAGATTACCCAATAAGCACACAAACACATGCTTAACTTGATTTACCTGTGACCTGGAAAATTACAGACTTTTTCACTGTATTGCAGTTTTGTGTCTCTTTGAAAACACTTTCTAATTTACAGCTTGTCACATCCTGATACAGGAATCCATTTTTTATTGAACTTTTAACCAGGGCAAATATGATTGTTGAGATTTTTCCGATGCACAGGGAATTATAAGAAAAAAACTGCATCAGGAGAGAGGCAGGAGACAGCACCAAGGCAGGGTCTCCAGAAGGAGTTGAGGGGATAGAAAGAACTCTTTCATTTAACCTTTTCTGTCACTTTTTGGTTTGATTTATGTGTTAGAGCTACTGGGTTACCTTTATGAGCAGCCTCCATTTTCACTACGTAAAAATATAAATATTGGGCGATCGTGGTTCAAGAGTTGGGAGTTCGCCTTTTAATCGGAAGTTTGCCGGTTCGAGCCCCGGCTTGGACATTGTGTCCTTGGGCAAGACGCTTCACCCGTTGCCTACTGGTGGTGGTCAGAGGGCCCGGTGGCGCCAGTGTCCGCCAGCCTCGCCTCTGTCAGTGCGCCTCAGGGCAGCTGTGGCTACAATGTAGCTTGCGATCAACAGTGTGTGAATGGGTGGATGACTGGATGTGTAAAGCGCTTTGGGGTCCTTGGGGACTAGTAATGTGCTATACAAATACAGGCCATTTACCATAAAGTTTAAAAAAAAAACTTCTGTGACAGCTGGGATCAGCTCCAGCCGCCCACAGACCAGAGCAGTTAAGAAAATGTATGTATAAGACCGAGCTCTATTAGTAAGAAGTGTTATGGATTATTTAATATTTTATAATGAAAAACAAAAGTCCAAGCCAAATTATAACAACAGTTTAATGTGAAAATAAGAAACTTACTTGTGAATAATGTACGGTAAGCAACTGGAAGAATAACGACCAGGCATCAAGTGATAGACTCATTTTTCATGACTGGTGTCATTAAGGAGTAAATGTAAAAGCAGCAAATAAATGGGGGGTGTCTCACATCATGTCACATTTTAATTTATTACTTTGCATCACTCGAGAAAAATGAACACATAACACTGAATGCAGATAAACACGCACACATTAAAAGGAAACAACTGACACACACACACACACTTTCTGGGCTGTTTGGCTGCACAGGTAAAATTCTCTACACAACAACAAACAAACAAAATACACATACAATGCACACAACTCTTCAACACTGCCTTTCTGTTAGCGACTAAAACACACAAACAGCACGTACACCCACAAATATTACACTGCATATTTACCTTGTGATTCACGCCACACTATAAAACACCACCGAAGAAGAAGAAACGTGTGCACGCTTAGCTGGCTGGGTTTTACACTAGCAGTGAAGCTTCAGTATGAGCAGTTATCATAACCACACTGTTTATGAGTAACTGCAGTGCTCTGAGGTTTTACCAGCAGTGGGGGAGAGAAGAAGCGGAGGGAAGGAGCGGGAATATTTCACTGATGCTGGAACCAAAGCGCCACACGTGATATCAGCGTGACTTTCTCAAAGTTAGAAATTCCCAGCTGAAGTTACGCCAATATTGAGGAGGTTAAAGCCATCTCAACAGGTCATTCAATCACTATACTGAAGTTTAAAGATCCCCTCCAGACATGTGTGCAGACTCTGTTTAAAAGAATGATTCGAGTCCGAGTTTTTCCCTTAAAAAAAGGTTAATTAGCCTCCTGGAAATGCCTAAAATGACATAGTCGCCCTCCGTCTTAATGGGAAATCCTGAATTTATGAATACGCAAATGTCTTCCGCTTCAAAATTGTAATACTTTTGGCCTATAAGGTGTCTCCTATACACCACTGAAGGGTTATTTTCAATATATGTGCAAATCAAACCTCAAGTTTCCACATCATGCTAGTGAAAGTCATCTATTGAACCACAGCTAACTTCTAGTGTAGCATCATCATTCCTGCTTGAACACCTTAAAGTTATATTTCCAGACAAACTTTGAACACTGGAGGCAGAGCCACTAGTGAAAATAAAATTTCTGAGTGGAGGGAAACTTTAAAAAAATCAAAGTTTTTTTTTGTTAAAGCAAGTAAAGCTGTTTCTGTTGTTCCCAAACTCAGATGGAGCCAAGCAGAAACAGCCCTCCTCTTCATCAACTGAGATTATTACTTGTTTTAAAAAACTTGAGACTTAATAATGGATTAAATGACTTGTTAAAATGGGCATTTCTGGTGTTTGCACCCCGACCTGGCTCAAAACTGTGACTGAAATCCTGCAAGACAATTCCTAAAGTTGACTGAGCTGTGAAACCTGAATATGATATAACATCTAAACTGATTTTCTTAATTCAAATCTCAGTTTTTGAAAGTAAAAACAGAGGAACTGCCTAATTTTGTAGGACCACTGTGGAATATTGCATTCTTTACCCCATTAATGTAGAGCAATCAAACTCCATCCACATAATAACCTTATAAAGTGAATTAAAAAGGATGCAGCTCAGTCACATGACTGCTGAAAGTCTGCAAGGATCACAGAAACAGTTTGTTCCAAGTCGTAGAGCCAGATCCACTTACGGTAATTTATCGACTTTTTGTCAAATTAGGTCTTCGATCAACCTCTGCTTGTTCATTAGGATTGATAGCAGTTTCTCTCGTGTCCAGGATTTATCGAGTGTGCCAGTGCTCAATATCTTTAATGGCTTCATACAATCTCAAACACACTGAACACATCGTTTTTGAAACTGTCACCAATGGTCGGGTCGCACAAAAGCCAGTTGATCAAGGAACTTATTTGCCACAAAAGCAACACATCTGTTCAGACACCAAAACGAAGAAGGGGGAGCAGCAGTAAAAGAGGCCAGAACGCAATTCTCTCACCAAGAAGAGGCTCCGTGTGAGGCTCCTTAAAGTAAGAGGGAGAAAACGCAACGCACATGCATCAGCGTTAGCCGGGCCAAGAAATCAGAGACATCCAGCTGAGAGCATGAAGGCCTCTATTCACGCTCATACTTTCAATTCACTAAACACTCATGAAGCTGAAGCAAGATAAACAACATTAATGCACCATAACAGTTTTCAATCTAACATCTTAAATATTTAAAAAAAACACAGAGAGCATAAAAACCAGTGCGTGCATTTATGTTTCTGTGATGACTGGAAGATACCTCATATTTTTATTTTTGTCACATTGTCATTGGTTAGTAAAGCTAAAATGTATTTGTGGATTGGGGATCGTGCAGTAAATGCAAAAAAACCCCGCCTACATGGGCTAAAGACATGTCACCTAATCTACAAATAAAAAAAGTAACTGAAATGTGAAGCAGCGCTAAGATTAAGCCATAAAACATTTAGATTTTTGATGAGAATCCAGCTTAAAATGCAAAATCCGAAACATTAATTATCCATCCATCGTGACACAACTGTGAATTTAGCCTTTCCATTAAGTAATTAATGTGACATATTGTTATTGTAAACATTTGGTATCCTCTAATAGGATCTGCAGGGCCATCAGTCTCTGTGGCTGTAGCTGGTTTGTTTACAATGAGTGAGCCATCTGCCTGCAGCAGGTTTTTAATTGGTCCAATCGGTGTAAAGGATCATTTAATGGGGATTCTGGGCAGCAAAGTGTTAACGCTCTACTAGTTTTAATGACCTCACAGTCAGCTTTTAGTTAAAACAGTGAAAAACAGTTATTTTCTGTCTAAATTAGTTTGAAGCTGAACGATTATCCCTGCCAACTATTTTTAATTACATCAAAAGACTGAATTCTTATTTCTTCATTTATCAGGCAGACTGATTTAAGCATTCACTGCCTTTTCTATTAAATGCTCATAAAATTGATCTGAACATTTTCCTCAAACAGTTTGGTTGCTCATATCGAACCGGCGTCCCCTCGGCACAGCGATCAATTTCTGAGCGTGATGTTTAGGTGCTTTCTATAGGCGAGTCATCTGTTTGGTGTGTAATGGGGTTTTAATGGGAATCCATAAATTCACTTGATTAACAAACCGCCTCCTGGGGACGCCGGGTGAGCAGCCGGGGTTAACTGTCAACTCTTCTAAATCATCCAATCCGTCAGTTGATCAGCCGGTAATGAGCAGGTGAATCAAAGAAAGCGAGGATTTTAAAGAGCTGATTGGAAAACAGTCACCAGTTTGTTTTTGTCTCTGCAGGCTCAGCATAATTAAAATATATTTTATTCAAAATTGACATTTCAAGAATGAGAAACAAAATAATAACCACAGCTCAAAAAGGCTTTGTGTTATAACTACTTTTTAAAAACAACACAGACTCTCTAAAGGCTGATTAATGGCACTAAATTACTATAAATCATGAACAAATCAACTGAAAATCAAGTTTTTTTTACCTGGTGGGTTCTAAACAATTTCTGCTCCAATTAAGAGACATTTATTATGGATTTGTCTTTTTTTTTTTAATTATTAAAATGAAACTAATCATGAGTATCCTGCACAGTGCAGTCTCTAAAAAAATACCACAGCCCAGAGGCATAAAACTCTGTGCAGACTCACAAATAAAACTGTGTGAATGCCCACAGCAGAAAAGCATATTTATAAAGGCATCTGTGCTCTTTTACATTCTTAGTCATTATGAAATGTTATGCACATGCACAAGCCTCATTTTGGTTCTGGTCTTTAGCAATAAATTCATCATTAACATATAAAAGTCACTCTTTGCACCTCGAGCTATTAATGAAGCAATTAAAAAATCATTTGAAGAAGAAGAGGTGGAGAAAAGGAGATGTGGATTCACTGGTCTCACTTCTGCAACTGTGCAGTTCAGAGCAAAGGACTCTGGCAGAGGTCGGTAAGTATGTAAGCTACAGCTGTGTGTAGTACCCAGAATTCATCAGTGAATAAGAATAAGAATCGTATGATAACAAGAAATGGAAGTAAAAATCACAGTTTTGCAGTATCAGGCTTGACTTGCTACTTGCTCCAAAATCATATGTATACATGGTCCGATGTCTTTATGTATGTCTTAATTTATCAAAACTAGTTTTTGTGTGTATGTGTATTTATGTTTATAAAAAAGGTGTGCATGTTTTTTTCTATGTTATTTAAATTCGGGGTCCTTTTGTCTGTGTCAGCATCCCTGGATATCAGTTTTGGGAATGTTCCTTTGTAGTTCAATTCCACTGAGTCATCCTCAGCAACGGTGATCTGTTTAATTTGGGTGTGAACATGTTTGCCTGGTGCAGCACTGGAGGGGAGTAAGCTGACCAGCTGACCATCTTCACTCCCACAGCAGGAGCAGGACCGTCTGCCTCTCCCTCCCATCACAGACATCACTGTCCTGCTGCTCACTTTCTTTTACACCACCAAGAGAAATAAAGAACTAAAGATGGGGGTTACCTGTCTGAAAGCCTCGCCGTCACTCTTGCCAGCCTGCTGAGCAATAAGCGTCAACTTCTTGTTCTTCTCGTTCCTCTTATGTACTTTATAGATGCAGGACAGCAGGCACGCCAGCAGCATGAGGGCAACCAGGCCCAGCAGCGCGAGGATGGCCAGAGTCAGGGGAGGCAGCTTATAAGCTGAGCGAGACAGACGAGGACGGGTAAGGAAAAAACAACCATAATGAGTCTTCTGTGACAACAGGAATGATGCTTCAAAACCCTGAAAGAACAGATATCAGCTTTCATCTCTGCCTCCTTTAAATCTCATCATTTTCTGCTGTTAACACGTCAGTCATCCGTGCACATGTGCCGGCAACATTGCCCGCATAAAACTGATAAGAAATAAATAAGCATTTAACATCGTGAACTATAATACAGAAAAACACAATTGCAGAGCCATGATAAATATCATGCGTTTTCTCCTCAGGAGGAATTAAACGATCAGATGTGGGGATTTAAGGTGCTCTTATCCACTTGCATTTATTATATTTATAAATATTACTCACAAATGTTAAACTGGAAGTATTAAAGTAAAATGTCACTAATTTATTTATTATTCATTGGTTTCTGCTCTTCTGACTCCCTTTGTATTACACTTTATATAAAAATAGAAATACATCGAGGGCACGCAGGCACATAAATGTCAGCAGCCTGCAGTGTTGTACATCCTTCAGCATGTTATTGCTTAAATTATTAATATTTATGACTACACTGTGACACAGAAAGACCAGCTTCAGTGTCTGCTCTTTAAAAAAGGGAAAATCAGAAATGAATGTATAACAGCTGTATGTAGCCTCTGGACCTGAAATGCTAAGCTGGAAAAAATGCAGAAAAAAAATGCTTTTTTCATTTCCAGCAGGGGGCGACTCCTCTGGCTGAGGAAACTATCTCACAGCTCAGTTCATCTATGACTCAGCAAACACTTTCCTAATGAGTTTTTGATTTGAAATGCTAGCTTCAAGTCTTATTTAATACAACACGAGGTTCTTTTGTAATCTACGGTCCCATTAGCTGCAAAAAAGCTGGAAATGATTTCAGGCATCATTTGTCCTTCATTTATCAGTCAGAGGCACTTTCCTCTCTCTGTATTGATTCTGATGCTCCAACTTCTCAGCGTGAGTTTGAATACGATAAAAGTTTGATGGTAAGCCCGGTGCTCTGTCTCTCTTTGCTTCCAGCCTTTGTTCATGTAGTTCATGTTGTATTACACTGACTTGCAAACATGCTAGCAGCCCTCTCTGTGTCTTTATTTGCATTTTTACAATACAAAAATTATGCTAATTAGTTTATTATGCTTGTTAGCCAACAGCAATACAGAGCATGTTGTTCATTTAAATGTGTTTTTTCACTTACGGGCTACATCTATGTAGACAGCAGCTATAAGATGCCCAGCCAGGTCTGTCACACTGAAGACGCCCGAGTCAGACACTTGGACCTTCTTCAAGGTGAGATGTGAACCCTCCACGTTCACCCTGCCCTCCAGCAGCGGGTCCATCGGCGTCACCACAACCCCCTCGTCCACGATGGCTCGGCCCCGACTGTCTGATTTGGGCTTGAAGACGACGTTGACGCTGGAGTAGGGCAGGTGGAGCTGCATGTTGAAGTTGTCTCCATAGGCGAGGTGCTTGAAATACAGGTGATCTGTGGCAGACCAAAAAACACACATAGTTCTGTGTGTGTGTTCAGAGAAATTTAAACTTGATTTAACCTGTTGGAAGACTAATTTTTCTAAATGCAGCAAATATAAAACTTAAATCTGATGCTGCTCACCACAATAGCATAAACACAGGATATAAATGTGTCACCACAAACGTAATCATATGATTCTAAGCCAGCCTGCATTAGTGGGGGTCTGTGGATGCCCTGCTGTCCTAACCCAAGACAAGGGGTCAGCAAAATAGTTGTCTTTAAAACAGACCATTGTGCTGCACTGGTGAAAATTACATGTAAACATGTGGAAATGTTTAATAATAATAAAACAGGGATGTTTTCCCAGATTATCTTTAGGCCAGTGAGACCCAGGGTTGTATGTCTTTTGGACTTTTTAAAATCTTATTAAACAATATTCAGTTCAATTAAATTCAATTTTATTTATACAGCACCAAATCACAACAACAGTCGCCTCAAGGCGCTGTACCTATTACAGTAAGGCAGACCTTACAGTAATACGTACAGAGAAAAAAACAACGATGACCCCCTACGAGCAAGCACTTTGGCGACAGTGGGAAGGAAAAACTCCCTTTTAATAGGAAGAAACCTCTGGTAGAACCAGGCTCAGGGAGGGGCGTGGCCATCTGCTGCATGGGATGAGAGAAGGAAGACAGGATAAAAGACATGCAGTGGCAGAGAGCCAGAGATTAATATCTGTTTGGTTTTCTGTTTGAGTCTTTATGTCTTACATTATCTTTTTGTTTCTTACGTTTAGTTACAGTTACTGCTCGTACAAAAGTATTAGTTTCCTCGGGTTCTTCTTTTGTTGACTTCTCATTTTGAGTTTACTGTTGTGTCTTCAGTTTCCCAGTTTAGTTCCTTTCTGTTTTAGTTAGTTAGTTGTGTTTTAAATTTAGTTTTACTTCACTTGTGTCGTTCTCCTGATTACTTTCACCTGTGCTTTGAGGCTCAGCTGTGTCTAACTCCCTGATTAACCCTCAGTGTCTGTGTTTATATAGCCCCAGTTTCCCTTCGTCCTTTGTATCAGCAACTGTTAATTTTCCCTCTTAGGTTCCTGCAATTGAGTGTGTTGAACATCTGTTTTGCATTTTGAGCCTCATTTATGAACTATGACATTCCTCCAAATAAAAAAATTTGTTTTCACTTTATTATTTTGTGTCTGTGAGTCCTGCGTTTCAGTTCTCTTTCACACCCCCGACAAACAGCAGTGGGCAGGAAGGACCCCACTCTGACTTGGTGGAGCACGGAGAAACTATTGAGTATGAAGCAACATATCAATCATTCATTCAATGAGTCTGCTGCACTGAGGCTGGACTGAAACATGGGATGAACTGATTAGAGGTTAATGAGTTTGGTTAATGAAATTTGGTGGACATTCATCCTCCCAATGAGATAAATTACTCATGACATTGAAACACAAAACCACACAGTTATGAAAAAGAACATCTATATTACTCATAATAAAGTCTCCCACGAGGCTTAGCCATATATTGTTATAATACTAGTTAATTAAAATGGTACATAACTACATTATCTGCATGAAAGTATGCAAATGTTGGCATTTAGCTCAAAGACCAGCCTCACAGAAGCTCTTGTGTTGCTGTAGAAACTCAGCGGTGTTTTAATTTCAGTGATATTTATCAGTCTTCAGTTGTAATATTTTGGCTCTGTAACCTTCACCAAAGTAAATGTGTTTTTGATTGAACTCAGAATCCCTATAGGTGGGTTTAACCTTTTTTAATATATTTAATAAAGACTTTGACCTTTTCTGAGATTAAGGATTTTAAGACAGTGGCACTCAGCCAACATGACCATTTAGCGAAAATCTAGGAAAACCTGAAAAGCACAAAAAGCAAATCACTTATTAAAAACTATGGAGGCTTTAATAAATGACAGGCACATCGAGCTACTCAGCTACTTAACCTCTAGAGACCCTTTTTCTGGTTCCAGGACATATTTATTAAGAGAAAATTGGAGACTGCCAATCACAACACAATAACTGAGGAGGCCATCTGTTACTACTGTGACTGCAGTAAACACAGGATTGAGTGCTTTTTATTTCCTCAGGAACATATCAGAAGAGCTGAAGTTAAGACTTGATTAAAAGCAGGTTCAGTAATACCAGCTGAATGATTGTCTCGTGGCTTTTTTGTCACTTTTGATTAGGTAGAAAAATATTGCAAAAACTTTATAATCTCTATTTCAAATCACACTCTGAACTAACAATATTTAAAATTAGCCTTACTGTGCATCAACAGTTTTTTTCTTGCATAGAGCCCAAGGTTACTTATTTTTACCTGACACTTTATTTTATTGACTAAATTGGATTTTTTTCTCCTCAGGCAAAATTTTATAAGTGTAGCCTTAGGCTTGTGTGGTTAAGAACTACACACACAAACCCCAGTTGGGGGCAGAGTCACTGCAGGTGGGCCAAGCAGAAAAAATAATACATGAAGTGTAAATACGTTCGGGGAAAATAAACAAGAGCTGTGGTAGAATTTAAGTAAAATACAAAGAAAAGAGCTACTGACTGACAGGAAGTCAGAGGCACAAAGCATCTGCACGCACACAGAATGACTCACTTTAACACCGAGTGATCGATTAAAGCCGACAGGATGCTGTAAAGCTCAGATCTTCACTTACCTCTGACATTCAGGCAGGTCCGAATCTTGACTTTGCCCTCGCTGTCTTTTACTGTAAAGCTGCCTTCATCTGTCATCCTGACCGAGTGCAGCACCACACGCTTCTCCGACACGCTGAGGCGTTTCATGTATTCTTCTGCCAACACACCCGTCTGGTCGTACAGCACCACAGGTGGAGGCTCGGTTGTGTACTGCGTCTCTGACTGATTAAGTTGAGACGGACTGGGCCTAAAAATTGTGAAATTTGAAAAATCAGAATAATACAGAACAGATAAAGTAACACAGTGACTGCGATTAAGGATGTTTCCAGAGATGTTAACCGCCCTGTTTCTTCTTCTCTTTATTAATTCATTTCTGGCTTATTTCAACACGCAATAGATGTAACACAGAAGGAGCTGGAGAGCAGCCTCTGTATGTGTTTTATTGTTATTCCTTTGTGTGTTTCTAGTCGTCCCCTCTCTCTGTCATGTGTGTCTTTCTGGTTTATTTTTGGTAACTGTTTTTCTTTGTATGTCTTCTGTGCTTTTACTTAATGTTTCCCTGGATGTTCCCACCTGTTTCCTAATGTGTGATCAGTCCTCTGTGTATACAGCCCTTTGGCCTTTGTCACCCACCCATCTGTTATCTCTAGATTTCTGCTTTGTGTTCCCTTTTTCTAGATTTTATGGCTTTTGTTTTTAACCATTTCCAGGATCTTCTCATCACACATTCAAAACATTCAAACAATCTGTAAAGAAAATGATTCCAGCTTTGGTACTGATTCACTCTGATGACCATACCTGAACTCCAGGGTGATGGGTCCTTTAATGTTGCTAAGATGGATGTAGTAGGTTTCTCCGTATTTGACAATTTGCTCCAAAGCGCAGTCTGAGCATCGACACAGAGAACAAACAGTCAAAGATGAGAAATTTGTCATGTTGTGGCAAAAGTCACCTCAGTGTAAATATTAAACTCTCAGGAGAAATCTCAGTGAGCCCAACCCTCTCATGTCCTCCTTCACTACATCCATGAATGCTCGGTGTCATCTTCCTCTTTTCCTCCTGCCTGGCAGCTCCATCTTTACCATTGTCTGTCCAGCATATCTACTATCTGACTTCTGCACGTGTACAAACCATCTCTTGTTTCTCTGACTTTGTCTCCACCTGCTTAACCTGAGCTGTTCCACTGATCTCCATCTGTGCCACCTACACCTCTGGCTTTTGTCTTTTTGTCAGCTCCAAACAAAACCCAGCAAACACACCACCTCTCGCTATCATCTTCACTCTTGCTGCTATCCTTTAGTCATAATCACTCCTGACACTCGTCTTCACCCTTCACTCCACCCTGTCAGCGCTCTCTTCTTCGCCTCTCTTCTGCACTATTGTCAACATGGGTCCTGTATCTTCATGTACGTAAAGCACAGTGTGTATCTTATCAAGCTTATGTCAAGTAAAGTCACTTTTATTTACAAAGCACATTTTTAAAAATGAGATGCCCCAAAGCACTTTTGAGTCATCTAACATGACGTGTTGCGTTTCCTTTTAAGATGGTGACTAATTTGTATTTTCTGGCTTCCTGCAAGTAAAACCTGGTCTTCTTTGTGTGTTTGAGTTGAACAATCTTTGCTGTAAGACAGGTGAAATTTAAAAAATCAAGACCGATCATAGAGGACATTTATAATTTCTTTCACAGTTATACTGCCGGCCTGCACAGAATGTCTCTTTCATATTTCGTATCTCTTGTGTCCAGCATTTTTCCTGTTTCCAAACCACATTTTAAAAAATCTAACTTAAAGCACATGAAGAAGACAGAGGGAGGCTTACCCTTGACGATGAGTTTGAAGTGCCTTTCAGTGTTCGGATTGTTTGTGTCCTTGATGATGTACGTGCCCTCGTTCTGCTCCTGCACGTCTTCCAGCACCAGGTAGCCCAAAGTGTTGGAATAGGAAATGTTGTGATTCACCACTTTCCCCGCTGTGATCAGCGGCATGTCGTAGGACTCGCTGGTCGCAGATTTAAAGATGACCTCGCTGCCATTCCCGCGTGGGACATCGATGTGGACGTCCTCGCCAAAGAAAGCTGTCCTGTGTTCCGTTTTTACTGGTAGAAGCAATCAAGATGTTTTTATTAGATATGTTGAATTACTCTTTTTGTTAGTTTTTATACTTGGCTTTAACCTGAAAGCACAAACACTCTGTCTTTGTCATGTATATAATATAATAATCCTCAAAGAGCGTTCTCAGGCGTGCATTAACATCCAAACAACCATTTTTACCTTTTGCAGATGCTGGCAGGACTGTGGGAAAACAACAAAAGATTAGTTTAAAATGAGTTTATTTTAATGTGCATCTTTTTTTAGTCTGCTGGATTATACAAAAACCTTTAAATCATTTCCTTTGTTCCAAGTGAAAAACCACACAGCTTCCGCAGAAAGCATTAAAGCATTTGAAATGTAAATGCCGCCAATAATGACAGCTAACAATAGACTGGATGCAAAAACAAAGAGCCAGATTCTTCATTACAGGCGAAATGAAAGGAAATAAGTGGAAATTAACTAGATCACAATGTGTTTTAGCTTCTTTGGTGAGGCTTTCACAGCATCCATGCTAATCACCCAGTTAAAACAAATGTGGTTTTGCAGGAAGTCTGTTTCAACAGTTCATCTATCTAAACTCTCTCCCTGGTGACTGATTATGTTCTTGCTTACCCGTGCAGAACAGGACGCTGAGCACTGCGGCGCCGATTACTTTCATCTTGAACAGTTGATCTGTACACAAAAGAGAAGAGAAACCCACAGACAATACAAAACAAATTAAAAAAGGCTTTTTATAGCAGGATCGTGGCTCCAGGTTTTTTAAAAAAGCAACATTTCCCATATGGTAATTTTATTTGACAAGATATATTTGTTAGCTTCTGTGTTTAATTTAGAAACCCCTCGCTAAGGTAGAAGCATGCCAACTTCAATTTTTGTCCTCAAGTTGAGGAGAAGCACCCAACCCCGCCCACCCCTAAATTCTCTACACCGCTGTGCGGCATTGAGGAGCTTTTCGCAAATTAGCTCGGTAAATATCTAAGAGTAGACTTCCGCCAACACTCTTTGGCAAGAAAACCTATAGTGCTGTTGCAAAGTCAAATATATTATTAAGTCAAGTTTTATAGATAAAGTGTCTTCAAGACAAAAACGTGATGTTGTGCTGCGCGAGCTGAACAGCGGCTCCTCGTGTCTCCCGTGGTGCTGGGAGATAATCGGCTTTCCACTCACGACACAGGATCACAAACTGCAACGGAGGACGAGGGGAGGAATCAAGAGGAGAAAAAAGATGAAGAGTAAATGAAGACAAAGTAGGAGATATTTAAATGCAAGAGTGCACAGCCACTACTTTGGGATGATGAGCTGGACAGGAGCCAGCTGGCACGAGGGGACTGACCTTTAGCTGCAACTGCACCGGCTTACACTAAGCAGTAGTAGCATAGTTATTAAGGTGGGATAATTAGATGAAAGATTAAGACAGACACGATGAAACAGCTAGAAACAAAAAGGAGTAGAAAGATTAACAACATAAACTGGTTCATGCAAAAATCTAATGAACATTTAGGGATGTAGAGACGATCAAGACGACTTACTGAAGCTTAAACTGAGAATCAGAATGAAGAAGAACTCTGACAGTCGGCTCGCTTCAGCATTTTGCATGAACAACATGAAACCACGGTTTCCATCGTGTCTTGTATCTGTGGTTCAGGGTGGTGGTGGGGATTATAGTTTCTTATCAGCCTTATCAGCCTCCCTGAGTATTGTTTCTGACTATGTCCATCTCTTACAAGCACAGTGTACCCATCTACCAGCCAGAGAATGCACCATGTCACAAAACTGACATGACAACCAGCTCACTCTACTTAAATGGCCTCCACAGTCGCCAGATCTCAATCTTTCCCTTTGGGGTGTATTGAAATGGGAGGATCACATCATGGATGTGCGGACAACAAATCAGGAGCAACTGTGTGATGCTTTCATGCCAACACAGATCAAAATCTCTGAGGAATCTTTCCAGCACCTTGTTGAATGTTTGCTACAAATAATACAGGCAGTTGTGAACGTAAAAATGAGTCTAACCTGATACAGTAAGGTGTGACTAATGATGTGGCCACTGAGGTGTATACTCTGATCTTTCATTATTTGTAGTCCAAATGGACTACAAATGGATTACAAGTATTACTGACCAGTTGAGCAGGCCCCCATTATTGTAAATCAATGCTAAAAAACAGTAGTCAAGTACTCAGAGTAGCTGTCATTAAAGCAGGTCTGAATGCTCATTACATTATTCACAGGTCAAAATAATCCTTTATCATCTTATGCTGGTGTAGCGCCCCATTATATTCAGTCTAAAACCAGCTGCTTCAGCTTCTTTAATTTTAAGACCAAACTTCATTTAAGCCACCGTTCTTCTAACTAAATGCCCCTCACAGACAAGAGGTAGGTGCTGCACTATGAGCTCCAGCTACACATGCAGTATTCAGGAGAACGTCAAAGAAGCATTACAGGAGTCACTACTTCATGTTCTTCGTGTCTATAGCCGTCGGTGTCCATCTTATACGCACAACCCTGTTATAAAAGCTAGTAATAATCCTGTCGGGGAACACGACGACATGTGGGTGTAAAAGACTGACATACTATCGAAGTATTAAATTAACTGCAGATTCACATCAAAGACTTGCATTCATCTACAACACAAATACACTGTCCTAACACTACACCTGCAATCAGGCTGACACTTGGATGACAATAATCAATCCACCTGCTTCCATCCTTGGCATTGTTTCGACAGCGCTGCTCTAATGGGGCGGCTGACACAACCGACTTCAAAACGCCTGCTCAGCAAAACAAAACACACAAACAGGCGTGGGCTAAATATGTCCGCTTTTAATTTGAAACTTACTGAACCTTCCACATAACTCTGAACAACAAAGACGAAATGAACAGGAATGCCAAATACCTGCTGATAATTCAGTTTTTATTCAAATAAAGTGGTTCTTCCTGCTGATGACAGATTTCAGCCTGCAAAAGGTTATTAAATTTAAAGCAGGTTTCAGAGCTCTGCAGCATATTTGGAAGTATAATTTATTTTCCTGCCTGGATCCAGTTCAGGATGGTGGAAAAGAGGGAATCACGGCATCTTCAGACTGAGAGAACAATAAAATGCCACTGCGTTTCTGCCAGCTCCTTCAGATGAGGGATTAGAGTGCTATTTAAAGAAAGAAAAAAAGAGGTGACAGCCCATGCACTTTCCTTCAGCACATCAACACATGTGAGGACATTTCAAAATGACACCCTAGCATTACTGTGGGCAGGAAAACTGTTCCAGAGGCTCTTAGTCCTTTGCAGAAAACACAGTAATCATAGCATATTTTCTAATCGCCGCCCTTTTGAAGCAGGTTTAAATCATCTCACTTTAATCTTCTACAGTGGCATTAGTTCATTGCATATGTGAGTGCTCATGCTGGGCTGCAGCAAAGACATAAATCACAGGTTTGATTCATTGATTGAGAGGAAGCATGCATCTGACGGGAAAATGACAGGCTGCTGCTGATTACATAAATGTACACATCCACTTTAAAAACATGGAATATCTATTCAGTGAAGTGCGGTGGGAGTAGTGGCTGTGCATGAAACAAAACTCACACCTGACACCACCGGTTTGGATTTCTTCAAGTGCAGGTATGATGATGCATTTTCCAGAGTTTCTGGTTTTCTAAACATCTCACTCGCTGCGTCAGAGGAAAGTCATAATAAGCTAAGAGGCCTGTTATACAGATGTAATCGTTGTCCTTTGGCTGAGTCTCTCGTGTCCATTTATAGAGGCTGAGTCTAAATGGGGTCATAGCTCTCATGTCTCCTATTATAACTAAAAGGATCAATCAAACTATACAAGGCATAGCATTTAGTGAAGTGCGTAAGACACGTCCAGCAGCCGCCCCGCGGTGAGAGGCTCGGAGGATACATCTTCCCGGCTGATCTCATCAGTCTGACATCAATCGTGACTGACGGATTTAAGAGCCTTTTCCACCTCATCGCTGCTCTCCCACACAAGACGGAGGGCAGCAGCATCATGCCTCCATCCTCCTCCTGTTTCAGTATCAGCTCTCTCATCTCCCACCTTCAATCTGATTCTGGTTTCCTGTTTGTCTTTCTGTACTTCTAATCTTCTCTTCAAACACTTTCCCTTCTTTGTCTTCTCTCTCATTAATTATCCTTCTGATTCCTTTCAAGGTTAGTCTGACTCATAAGCTGTGATGATAGCGCACTAATGTCAAATATCCTCCACCTGTACTGAGACAGCAGTGACAGTTTCTCAATAACATCAGAAGAAGTGAAGGTTTGGGGTACCTCGACTCTCAAAAACTGTGTTGTCGCACGAGTGCAAGCACAGGTGGAAATAAGAGGTGGACACAGTGTTGTCCTCCACACTGCATCATATATAACTATATAATAAAAAGTAATATAATGATATGCACTGAAACCTTTAAATATGAATTTGAGACGATAAATCAACTTCATATGCCTCACAGTGTTCCAGAAACCAGTCTGTGATGCTGAGGGTCCACATGCTCGAACCCCAGTGCCCGCCGACACAAGTGGTGGGTCCACAGGGGGGCTAAACCACGTTATCTTTTTTTGGCTGTGCCCAAACAGGCCCCATCTACACTGACCTGGTCACCAGACACCTCTTACAGGCCTGGCTCTGAGAGAGAGAGCCCCAATTTCCCACTTCCAGCCGAGGTTAACCAACTCAGAGAACGCTGTTCTGTTAGGGTTTTCCATCGCTCTTTGTCTGATTCCTCCCCTGAGACCAATTTGCTATAACCCTACCCCTGATGGCGTCAACCCCCTTTCACTGCTGTAAGGTGGTGATTGGTGGGGTGGGGTGGGGGGGGTGGGGGGGGGTTGATCTATGATCTACTATTCTCCAACTCCTTTACTTTGCAAGAAATTAACTTAAGATGCTATAAAAGATAAAAGTAGCTTCCACAGAAGTGCAGAAAGGCCTTAAACCTGAATTACTTTTAATGGCCAGCAGGGGGCGACTCATCTAAACTTCCAAAGAAGGCTTTGTAAAAACAGCTCTCTGTTAGCTTGCTCCACAATCTCAGTAGACATTTTCCTGATGACTCAATAGGCTCTCTCAGTGGTTTCAGGTCATACTGAGTGAAACTTGAAGTTTGGGGGTTTTTTAAGCTTTGGTCATTATTAGAGGTAAAAGTTGATGTGCACTCCTGACATCCACTTTCAAAACACCAAGATGGGAACAGAGAAAATGCTTAACTGACACTTCCCTTACTAATGAGTGATGGTGGCTGCATGCATGTTTTATACTGACAATGCTGGTAATGCATGTTTATGGAGGTCAGCTGTGATGGTTATAACTCGATGACTTTTCAATTTTCAAGTGCTATTTTTTCCTAGAAGCATTTTCCTATTTCCTACCTGCCACACCTAAGTGGTACCTGGTCCCTTCTGCACCACCTGAAAATGCTGAACATCACTGATGTTCAGAATGCTAATCCAAAGCTTCTCCCTTGTGTCCATTTTCCAGTCAGAGTGATCAGCAGTGGAGCTTCAAATCTAAAGATGCTGCACCTTCAAGATTGGCTCCACTCTGTGGACTTGCATGTACTCTCTTCTGCACCTCCACCCCCATCCCCCCTTTAACCCCTCCTTATACAGCTCACAAAGCCAGAAGCAGCAGCTGGTGCAGCCAAGGGTGTGTCACGACCAACACCAGCATGAGTGGGCCGGTCCCAATTTGTCGATGTCCAGATAAAATGGAGGGGAGTAAAGGGACAGAGTGAACATGAATGGAGACTCTCTTTGTTTCATTAATTCACAGATGTCAGAGGAGTAACAGTAAACCATCAATTTATGGTTTAAGTAAAGAGTAATCAAATATTGGCACGTCACTTAGAGGAGATTTGTAGCAAAACGAACCCTAATAAGAAGCATTTTTCATAAATATGACGCACAGACCGGTGGCTTGGTTCATGTACTTACCACAAAATAAAAGCAAGGCTTCTCACAGTTCACCACAGCACTTATTCATCCATCCATTTTCTTAATAAAATGTAAATGACTTTTCAGTGACCAATACTTCACCCCTTCAGCGGGAGGCTGTGGTGTGTGCTATAGTGCATTGCATAACGGTTTCTGCCTGGAAAATACCCTGTTTTCAGACGGGTATTTCCCGAACACAGCACACGATAATGCACCACAGCCAGGGGCAGCACGAGATCATACGCTATACAGCATATCGAGCGTTAAACCACTTGGCGATCTGATTATCAGCATGAGTGCAAAGACTCTGCTTTTTCAGTGCCGTCAGCAGAAACACGAATGAATTTACAGAATTAAGCCAAAATTAGGAGAATGGAGGAGGCCACTGTGCGCAGTGGCACCATGCAAACAAACGCAGCGCTTTGATTTCTGCCTGAATGCTGTGGAATTTGCAATTTTCCCGGGAAATTCAGAAAGTTTGCCCCTAATGTAGCGTTAATTGCTTTATTATTGTGTGAAGGAAATCCCTGTAACTGCTGCCGCCGGTGGTTACACGCCCTACATCACCAGTGCGAGCGCTCAACACAAGCAAATAGTCAAAACAGCGAAGAAAAACTGCAGAATTTAACCCACTACCTCCCTGACTGAGCGAAATCACGAGGAAAAAAAGACCAGTCGTTGTAATATGCAATTATAAATGGATGAGGGTAATTACCTTTGTCAAGCCTCAGATCCGAAAATCACTGGACAGGGAGGGGCTCAGGAGTGATGGAAATGTTTTTCCTTCTTTATCTCACCAATCTCGTCCACCCCATCACCCCCAACTCGACAACTAGAGACTTCAATGAGGCCGATTCGGGAGTGGGCTGAGGACTTTCGGTTGATGTCGGGTTTGTGGACCATTTCATTTCGGCCTTGCTCGGAAAGCTTCGGTAGAAAGCGTCGATTCTGGCTCGGCGCCACAAGAAACCGCTCTGCAGTTTAACCTCAGGCCACCATCACACATGCACGATTTCTCCAGCCTGTTGTTCAAAATTACCATCGAAAACTATTTTATGTTTATGTTTATATTTTTTTGCATTGTCGTTTTTCGTACATTTACATAATTATTATTTTATAGTATTTATTTCTAACAGCATGTGCTCGTCTCTTATTTTTTCAGTTACATTAAAGCGCTTTGTTCCTTTGCAATCAACAAGATTTACATAAAAACACAGACATATTTAACCCATGAAGTGGTAGATAACTACAACTCAAAAATGAAGAAAGCCAATTACAGGAAGTGACAGGCACACCTTTTAAAATCAATAAGTGGCATGTGAATGGTCTCCTGTTAATCACAAGGGCAATGTGATTAACACGCTGCAAAAAAAAAGAAAACCCCTTAAGCTGTATAAAACATGCAGAAGCTTTTGGAGTGTCATTAAAACGCATTTTGCTGAGTCGGTAAAAAGATTTGCATTATGTTCTAATGAAGACATTAGGCAGCTTCGTACTGTTAACTGTCACAGTGCACACATAGAGCTCCAGTGCTGCAATAATAAAAGTTCCTCTGTTGTGTATTAATGCAAATATTCAGCATTTGCATTAATATGCTGCATATCTACAGTAAATTCAACAGATATCCTAAAGATCTACAGATAACATGATGCTAATGTGCATTGCAAAGGCAGAAAATTATTAACCAATGGATGTAGGGCAAACAAAAATAGAAAGCAGATTGGTATATTAGTTATTAATATAAGAGAGCTGGTGCAAATCAGATCAAGTTTCTCAGTTTAAGCTGGCATCCTGTAATAAAGTCTGATCATGTATTTGCAGAGAGTAATGTCAGTATGAGGTGCAAAGACCCAATTTCCAGTTTTTATTGAGCTGTAACGTAAGGGGCTGGCAAGTTACCATAGCAACTTCTAACTGTGTATAGTTATCTCTTTTTAGTCTAAAATCACAAAAGTATTGAAAATAACTCCCTGCAGATGTGTAGCCAAATAACAACAAGTTGTTAGACTGTGCTTCTGTGTTTCATCAGATTAATTTATTGCATACATGTGTGATCAACAGCTAGAAAAGCATACATGAGGTGGGAGTAACTTAATATGCATCCTTTCTTCCCATTCTAAGCCATCACCCAGCTGGGTGAGCTCTGCTTTAAAACAGCATTTTAAAAAACAGCTGTTCTCTTTTTGTTTGCTGCTAAATAGTAGAATAAACTCATCGATGTAATTTGGAGGTATACTAGACCTCTGTATACCAGGCCACAGGTGCTCATCAGTCATGGTTGTTTGTAGGTGTTTTTAAATTCATTTTAGTGTGGAACAACTGTTTACAAGCAGCAGTGCTTAATGTTACTGCACCAGCATCTTAACACAAGCAGAAAAGTAGTAAAAGCAGTACTGGAACAGCTCTTGTCATTGTGCCAGAGAATGATTGACAGCACTCTTCTCCAATAAGTTTGGGCTGTTTTTAGAATCTCTGTTTTTTTTATTGCATTTTACTAGATTGAACACATTTGTTGTCAGTTTCTAAAAATAATTGTTTTACAATATTATATTTTAATTTTATTTAAAAAAATATATTAACTGAGCCACTTTGACTCATCACATTTCATTTATGTGAGAAAAAGACTTTACTTTATTGAAACATTTTCATAGTCTAATGCACTGTACTATTCTACTTTATTTATTTATTTATTTGTCTTAGAATGGATGCAAAAATCTGGACTGACCCAGAGGGTCATTTTTGTTTTACACCGTTAGCAATAAATCAACAAGAGATCTATGTTGGATGTAAATTAGTGCGGTCTTTCATCTTCCCAGCTTACTGAGGAGGTGCTGACCAAGATCCCGATTTCCTGACTTGTACTTCTCTGTTGATGCTGTCCAAGGTCCTGATTTATGCCAGCCCCCAGCGTCACTGCCTTCGACTGAATCACAGCCTCGACCTGCCGGAGGTGCAGGCCCTGTAGAAGTGCTATTTATCTGCCTATTTGTGGAGTCTGGACATTATTATACTTGAATTAGTTGTCCAGACTTGACGTGCATACGTGCTGAAGATGTTTAGATGCTCATTCATCACTAGGGGAGCCTCTGATGGGCCTCAGATTTGCTCTGCAGCAGCACAGCGACCCCAAACACACAGAGGAGTTATAATGAAAATCTTCAAAGAGCAACGAGCACTGCAGCAGATGGTAACCTCCTCCCCCCACAGAGTGAAAGGGATCACTCCTGCTAATTTTTATTGAGTCAGTTGTGTTTGTGCTTATTGATCTATGTATTTACTAATGTGTCATGTTTTAAGTATATGCACCTGCAGTGTATACAGTATAGGTACCCAGATTTAAGATGTACATTAGCAGAAAACAGGATCAACTTTAACCCTGTTTGACTATGTTTTGGTTATTTGTATTTAATCCCTTGTTTCTTACCTGTGTAGCTGTTATGGCCTCCTCTCTCCTGCTCTTACTTTTTTCTTCCCTGTTCTCTGGAGCTCTCTGGCAGACACACTCTCACCGGGAGTGGGTGAGAGTGGGCCAGCCAGACTTTCTGATTGGTGTAAGGTGAAAGGAAAAACAGGAGTTTAAGTATAGATGGGAGATCTTTAAACCTGGCCCTGCTCCTCCTGTTCAAGCCACAGTATCTTCTGGTTTGCTAATTTGTTACTTCTGCCCTGCACTTCATTATATTCTCCAATTTCCCCTTTCACCTTAAACCAATCAGAAAGTCTGGCTGGCTCACTCTCACCCACTCCTGTTGGATTGTTCTCTGATTTCCAGTTTCCCACATGTTACACCATGAGGAAATGAGGAAAGACTGAGAGACTATGTGGTTTCTGCTATGTCCCTCACGTTGGGAAACACGTCCCAAATCTTCTGGAAACCACCTTCTGCCCAAAATTTAAAGTCTACTCTTGTCTAAGTAGCAAATGCTCTCAGACCTGCTTGTTTAAAACTGATCAGCTCTCACCCCCACTATCCTATCCACTCACAGTTCCTGCTTATTTCATATTAACTAATAAATATAGCTAAAAATTTCTGAAAGCATCCCCACTTTGATACCTAAAATCTCGCTGTATAATAAAATAGCCATCTGTTAAACACAATGAGTTACTATAGCAAACGTATGATATTTATGTTTTAGCTTGTTGGGAAGACGACTTTAAGTTATTGTGGAAATCAGATTAAAATCTTTCATAATTTCCTTACATGTTATAAACTCAATACTAACTTAAGCTTAAAGAAATACCGAGATAAATAAAAAATGAGATTAAAAACACTTTTCAGCTCAAGAAATCTAACTTTGCTTTGATGGGAAAATATGTTTTGGATGTTTGCTTCTGCCTGCAGCTCTCACTCGGTTTATTGCTGTTATAATATTGTACCGACTTCCTGAAAGCTGACGCTGAAAGCTGTTTACAAGCAGACTAAAAGCTGATCATTAATAATGACTGACACGGCAGGCGATTTTTTTCCTATAAATGTGTTTTTATTTCTCCCAAATGTTTCACAGTCAACAGGATACCAAATGAAACAGTTTCAAACGAGCTTCAAAATAAAAAAAAGTACAAACAACATGAAGCACAGAGGAAACACAAAGAAAACATGGCTGAAGTTCACGTGAATACTGTAGTGGCTCAGTGTGAAAAGATTTAGGAGAATGAAAAATTAAATTAATATGTTAAAGGACGAAATATAAAACTGCAAAGCAGCTGGGGGGTTTGTCTTTCAAAATAAAAGCACCTGGCCATTTTATTTTTAAAACATGTTTCAGGAAATGTTAAGGTTAGACTTCAGATCTTCAGATGTTGGCCTGAATAGTGAGGTTATAATAATAGTGAGGGAAGTTTTCAACTTTTATCCACAACGTTAACAATTCAAAGACGCTGATCTTTCCTGTCACTCTGACTTTTTAAACACTCAGATTTATGTTTCTTTGCTTGAATTTAAATACTTTTTTTTTATTGGAAAATGTCCCGTTGAATTGGTTAATCCAACAACAGCCGACATGCTTTTAACACAGAGGAGCTGAAGGCTCTGTTAGCCTGAGATGTGGTATGAAAGGAAAACAGAGCAGTTGTTATGTGCAGTGCGCTTCTCCTCTAACATTGGTTGGTAATAAATATATATCTAAAAATGAATTTGTTTCTTGGAAATTCACTGAATGGGACTTTTGTTGTGGCTAATCACTTCAAGGGATCTGTACTTACTAGTATAATGGACACTGAGCATGTGCAGTGTGTTTCTCCTCAAAACGTTGGCTGGCGTCTGAGAAAAATCCTGCTGCTATGAACGCTCTGCCAATGTATATATCACAGGAAAGCAAATCATTTTCTTTGACGTTTTACTAAATGTGACTTTTGTTGTGGTTAACCACTTCCAAGAATCTGTATTTACTAGAAGATAACAGATGTTCCCATCTTTGACATTAACTTTCAATCTTGTGCTTCCATTTAAAAAAAAAGAAAAAGAAAAGATTAATGGCCTGATTATAACTGATGGCTCCCTTCAGTCTAGTAAGACCAGAATGCCTCTTCCCCACAAAAGCTAATGACAGCACGACGCTGTAGAAAAACAACTCTCTGAGTTCACAGAGGCTGGAGAGACGTTTACACAAAGGTGCAAACCCTGATGTCCAGAAAAGAAAAAGTATATTCTGCAAGCGTAAGACTGACTCACACAGGACTCTTTATCTCATGCAGTCTTAAAAAGGTTGCGACAAAAGCGTCAAAAATGAGAGATTATCCAGCTAATTAAGCATATCTGCCTCAGAAGAAGAAATACTGATAACGTTTTCTCACCTGCTGCCCAAAATCACATTTATCACTGAAAGTTGATCTTGAAAGCTGAGACAAAACGGTAAATAACACTGATAAAAGGCATTAACACTGATAACAGAATGATTTATTATTACTTAAACTGACTACAAGGTTACACACCTGAAACTATCTCAACACTCAATGTG